ATCGGTTTGGTTCCACGGTTCTCCATCCCCCAATACCAAACCTCGTACTCACAAAGCAGTCCCTAACCTACTTCCTGTATCTTTCCGTGTCCTTGGTGGATACATCATGTGAATGAAACCGTGATATGCGACCCTTTCTGACTCTTACTGACCCTCATCACTGAGTATAATGTCCTCAAGGCCCATCCATCTTGTAGCCTATGTCAGATCATCTTTATTTAAAGCTAACAGACCATGGTGGAAATGGATATTGGGATTGATTCTGCTTTTTGACCATGGTGTACCTTCACTCTTGGTTTTTGCCAGCAGTGGGGCTCTCACCCAGGCTGTCCACGTGCCAGGCAAGCTTCCCACCACTGCCGCCCAAAGCTCCATGAACAGTGGCTTCTGTGAACATCACAACCCACGTTTTTGTTTAAACATCCGAGTAAACAACTTTCTTGTCTCCATAGTCACGTAGGTAATAGAATTGCTGGATCACATGGTTACCAGCACAGAATTTTAGGGATATCTTCTCTTTTGAATGTGCTTGGAAAGTGATAGAGTAGGCACTAGAGGTTAAGCCTAGAGCCTCAGGCATGCTAAGCTGTATCTCTAGGACCCCCTTTATCTTTCATTTTGAAGTAGGGTCTCACTGAGTTGCCCAGACTGACCTTGAAGTCACCTCATAGCTCAGGCATTGCCTGGACCCTATCATCATCCTGCCTTAGCTGCCTCAGAGCTGGGGTAACAAGCCTATTCCAACAGGCTGTGCTGGGGTGCATGCAAGTGTGTGTGTGTGTGTGTGTGTGTGTGTGTGTGTGTGTGTGTGTGTGTGTGTACATAGGTACCGAGGGCCTTGCTTACGCTAGGCAGACTTCCTATGCCAGCCCATGAAGTACAGTTTTACAAAAGCTGCTTTGGCATCCATATTTAATATAAATGGGCTTCCTCCCATTACAGACAGGTCTCAGTCACCCCCTTCCAGTTGTGCAACTGTTTCACAATTTCCCGCCTTCCACCTCCTTCCGGTTCCTGCAATATCTGCCTTAAATAACTGCCTCCCTGGGTGGCAGGTATATGGCCACTTCCCTGGGTGGTCATAGAGCAGGTGGAGACACCGACTGAATTTGCCCTACTAACCCCACACGTCACACAGATGGTCAAGATATGCCTTAGTGACACCCCCGAGCTAGTGCCTGCTTGCTTTAAACCTGCCAATTAAAACTCCATTAGGAAAATGTTTGGATAACACCCTGGGCCAAGAAGGGGTTAGGCTCATGCATTTATATGCCCTCCTTCTCCTCCTTCCTGCTTTCTCTCTGCATACTCCCTGACCTCTCTGTGTGTGGGTCCCAGGCATGCTGTGTACACCCTCAGGAGCTGTCAAGTGTTGCTCCTCATCAGTGAAGGAGTTCCCTACATCTTAAAGGATCTTAAATTGCGATAGTCATAGGTGGACTTGAATGTAATCAGGCTCCAAAACTCTGTCAGAAAAATGGCGGTCTGGGAATTCATGCCCACCAAGGTGTCTGTGTACAGCCACAGAATGTGTAAAAGATTGCAACACCGTGAAGAGCCCTGGGAAGTGTCTGGCAAAAGGGTAGCAAGTAGGTGTTTTCCACCCTGCTTCTTGCAAAAGCCGAGGCTTTCCCATTGTTAGGAAACTTAGCTCCGGTAGCGCCATGGCTACTGTGCAAAGTACCCATACAAAGTACTGCTCCAAAATAAAGGAAGAGCCCTACAGATGACCAGGCTCACATTCCTGATTTATAGCCCTCTTCCCAAGCTAAAGTCAGCTTTTGGTACACGGGGTTCTGGAAGAAGGCTCTAGACTGTAGCCTGTGATCACAGGGTCTGGAACTAGCTCTAACTGTGGTGAGACTTGGACCTGCCTGCCCAGCAGATTTCTAAGCCTGTATTGGAGAGGTCTGCCACCAAAGGAATGTGAGCAACTGTCTATAAAAACAGCCATCACCAGCAATGTAAATGCACCCTGGAGAGGGCGCAGAGGCAGAGCTGAGAGGAAGGTAGGAGCTGGGGAAACCTTCCTGTCACAGTTGGATGTCTGATCTGTTCTCACTTTTGGAATACGGGGGGCCATTCTGCCACAGCTGAGCTGCTGCCCCAACCCCAGTTCTCCCCAGTACGCCTTCCCAGTGTGTTCCAATGAATGGGTTACCTGGCCCTCTCAGTCTGTTCCATAGTCTAGGAAGGCAGGGCTAAGAACATGGCCATGTTTCTCCTGAGTTCAGGTGCCCGGATCATTCTGGAAGTTTCGAAGAGGATGGACATAGCTCAGTTCCTGGATCACCTGTGACTCAGACAGCAGGAGGCGCAACCTGAGGAGTCTGGGTTGTTAGGTGGGCTGGCACAGCCCAGCAGGGGACCTCCTGGTCTGTGGGTCTCACCCAGGGAAGGCGAAATGTCCACGTTGTTCCTACCCCACAATGGTGGACAAGCCCTTGCCAAGCAGTTGATTCTCTTGTCAGGCTGCTCAAGGACTTCATTGTGTCCCAGACATGGAATCCTGCAGTTCAGGTGCAGTGACCCCTGGGACAAGTCTGACCCTGATGTTCTTACTGGGTTGATTACTACGCAGTGTTGACTTGACCTTGGACATGAGTCCATGTAGTCAGTGGAAGCCACAGGGAGCAGACGAAAGGCATCCTGTCAGATGATGAAGAGGATGTCAGCTGCTGAAAAGATGGCCGTAGGAAAAGAGCAAGACTGTCAAAAGATTCTTAGGAATATTTAGCCGACACTGGGCCCTTGTCTGTGCTGTCTATGGAGAAGGGTCCATTCCATTGAAAAACACAAGCTAGAAGGGTCCATTCCATTGAAAAACACAAGCTAGAAGGGTCCATTCCATTGAAAAACACAAGCTAGAAGGGTCCATTCCATTGAAAAACACAAGCTAGAAGAGTCTATTCCATTGAAAAACACAAACTAGAAGGGTCCACTCCATTGAAAAATACAAGCTAGAAGGGTCCATTCCATTGAAAAACACAAGCTAGAAGGGTCCATTCCTTTGAAAAACACAAGCTAGAAGAGTCTATTCCATTGAAAAACACAAGCTAGAAGGGTCCATTCCATTGAAAAATACAAGCTAAAGCCTGAGTGTATTTCAGTTGCTGGAGTGCTTGCAAGCCTTGGGTTTTGCCCCCTCCCCCCGCCCCCGGCACCACATAAATCTGGTAAAAGGTTGCATGCCCCTAATCTCAGTACTCAGAGGTGGAGGCAGGAGGTCCAGGAGTTCAAGGTCATCCTCAGCCTCATAGTGAATTGTATGTAGGACATAGGCCAGCCTGAGAGACATGAGACCCTATTTCAGCAAAATGGAAGGAAGGAATCTCAAACTGGACATGGTTCAAAGAGGAGCTACAGGTGGCCAGCAGGCTTTGTCATCCAGCCTTGTAGGTGTGTGTGTGTGTGTGTGTGTGTGTGTGTGTGTGTGTGTGTGTGTGTGTGTGAGGGGGGATTAGTTTCAAGTGCCTGTGTGGGGTATATTATTTCCTATGACTAGAGCTTCACCAGCCACGAAGGGCCCCTCTCTCCTTATGCTGTACTTGGGTTGGAATAAAGGGGGTCTGGGCTGTAGTTCAGGTTCCTCAGGTCAGGACCACCAGACCTTGCTGGTGATCACTGTTCACAGTTGCCAGTTCTTGTACCTGGGCTGGCCTGCTGTCCTATGGTCTCAGGCTAGGACCTACTGCAAACTGTAGGCACCCATGGATAGCTGATGTCACAGCATCTCTGTCTCTAAAAGATACACCCCACTGTTTGTCAGGATCACCAGGAAAGCACCCTGACCCCCACCCTCGATCCCCACCTTCAACCCCCACTTAAATTTTGTGACAAGGTCACTTTTGTAGCTCTGACTGCCCTGGAACTTCTACATAGACCAAGTTGGCCTCAGACCTGCAGAGATCCACTTGCCTCTGCCTCCCAACATTGGGGTTACACAATGTTGGTGTAACCATACCCAACTTAACACCCTCATTCTTATAAAGGCTTCTCACAGGACTAGCAGGTAACTAGGGCCATGATCAGCTTGGCTGTCTGGTCTGGTATTTAGCCCTCTGCTCCTCACCATGCTAACCCACCACGTGCCCCAGCTGTCCGAATTAAGCTGTTGATGTAAAGGGTAGGCCTATGTGTGTGTGTCCACTGGAAGGTCTTAGCAAAGGTTACTATAAGTAGTAGCCCGGGGCAGGGTCGGGGTGGGGGCAGCCCAGGATCTTGGTGAGCTTTTCTTGGGTTTGCCAACAATTAGTACAGAGGACTGTGGTCTTTTTGTCCATTGCATCCCTGTAGGTAGATGTATAGGGACCATACAAGGGCATCTTTGCATTTGGGTTCTCCTAGCCCAGGTCCCCTCCCCATATGGAAAGCCCCCATCTGTCTTCACATCACCCTCAGCAGAAAGCTTCTGTGACCAAATGCAGGCCTTTCCTCCACACCATGGGCCTGACTGATTATGTCATTGGCCTCTAATGATCAACTCAACCCTCAGCCCCTTTCCTAGAGGGCCAGGGTCATAGCCGAAAGTTCCAGCTCTCTAATCACGTGGTTGACCCTCCCCTCCCACTCACTCCCAACAACCAGCCCCCATCCTGAGCTCTCCAGTCATCTCACTAACATAAAAAAATAATTATCACTTTGGAAAGTCTAATGATTTTAGAAGCTGTGTGCTAGGAAAGAGTATGTGTCTATGTGCTAGGAAAGAGTATATGTATATGTGTGAAAGAGTATGTGTATGTGTGTGTTTTTTACCAGGGCCAGATGTTACGGATTAGTCCCCTCTATTATCCACTTCCCAAGGACAGTCTTGGCTATTATCTGGATACAAGCTGCAGTTGGACCCCTTCTCATCCTTTGTGTCTTTGGCTAGTAGTAGGTCTTGAGAGTGATGGCAGTGTACCTAAAGTCCCCGAGGGATACCTGTGTGTGCCAGACATGGTGTCAGCTTGGACCCTTGTTGGCTCTCATTAACACCGGTTGCTTCTTCATACACACAGATTCCTCGTTTGGAACACCACCTGGGTATGGCTGCGCCGCAGACCAGGCCGAGGAACAGCGCCGGCACCAGGATGGGCTGCCCTACATCGACGATTCACCTTCTTCCTCTCCACACCTCAGCAGCAAAGGCAGGGGCAGCCGTGATGCTCTGGCTTCGGGAGCCCTGGAGCCCACCAAAGGGGTGAGTCCCGGAGGGGCGCCTGCCGGGAATGTGGGGTACATGTGAAATCTTGGATGGGGCACTGAGCTCTGCTCTGGACCAGGTCGCGGCTTCCGGGGAGAGGTCTCCTGAAAAGGCAACTAACTCCTTGTTCAGAGACATGTAGCAAGGAGGTGACGGCACCTTTAGACAAAAAACAGGAAACTCCTTTCTTGTCGTGAATCGAGTAGTAGAGGCAGGCAGCCCTGTGCATACATTCTGCAGGGAGGGTGGGCCATGGGTTTGCTTTATAAACTGAGTCTAGAGGGGCAGGCTGTGTGTGTTCTTGAGGTTGAGAGGAGTCACGCCAGAGGCCCCTACCTAAAAGCAAGAATGGCATGGTAGTGTAGTGCCGTAGTGCTCGGCTAGGCTGACGTTAGCCCTGGCCCTGTATGCTTACTCCCTTTTCAACAGAGAAGGTGCTGACGATGGCTTTGTGTGACCAAGTGAGTGTGTTTGCCTTTCCCAGGGAGTTGTCACACAACCCTGGCCATCAGTCCTAAGGATCTTACCTTGCTGTCTTCCTCTTCCCGTCACCAGTGCATAACTGAGGCCAGTTGTTGGCTTCCTCCCAGGTCTTGTGGCTAGGGAGTAATGGAACGTTTGAGAGGTGATCTGTCACCTTTCCAAGCAGCATACTCTATGGGCCCCGCCTTCTCCTTCAGGAACATCACCCTGAGGTGCTTGCAGGCTGGACAGAGCAGTTCCCGCAGTGACTCTGTCCAACCAGCACTGTGTCCTGAGCCATTCTGTGGCCCTGTGGTGAGGGCGTTGTTGCAGGTCATTTTTTTCAGTGGTGTGCTGAGGCAGGGGCATGCTCCTCTTGCCATTGGAGCAAGGATACCTTCTGTAACGAATTTAAAGGTCAATGTGACACAGTGAGAATCGCATTGGAAGAGTGTCTCGGCAATTGGGATTGTCTGGATTAGGATAACCTGTGGGGAATTTATCTTAATTATGCTAATTTGATGTGGAAAGACCTGCTCACTGTGGGCGGTATTATTCCCTGGTCTTGGTAGCCTATGGGACTAGCCACCTTGACTTCCCCACAGTGATGGACTGTGATTGTGAGCCAAATAAGCCTTTTATCCCATAACTTGCTTCTCAGTCTCTCTCTCCTTCTCCCCCTTTCTCTCCCCCTACGTGTGTGTGTGTGTGTGTGTGTGTATGTATGTGTGTATTAATTATTATCAGGATATTTTTTTATTACAGGAAACAATGAAGCCAGCTCCCTTCACATCTTGGATTTTCCCTTCTTGGCCTGAACAATCACTGTTGCTCTGGAGCGGTTTTCCTCCTTGTCTCTGGCCCTTTTGTCTCTATGGTCCCCACTGCTTACCTTGTTTCTGGATGTTTTCTACCCTGGGTTTGAGCATAAGAATGAGAACGGGCCTTGGGATCATGGCTTAGTTTGTAGAGTTCATGCTCGGCATGCATATGACCCTGGCTCCTAATGCCAGCATCACACTTTCCCCAGGGCTGTTAACCAAGCCTTAGAAATGCATCTTTCCACCATGGTTGCTTTGCTCTGGGGCTGATACCTCTGTTGAGAGAGTGCTTTCTTTGTATGGGTCTGTGATTTCTAATGGCCCTGAGGCTCAGCAGGTTCCTCATCCTGAAACACAAGAATGGGAAAGGAAGCCAGCATGTAACACGTACCTGCTCCTTGTCGCTTACGTCTCTGTCCATCCATCCCTTGAGAGGAAGCTGATCTACCCTCTTTGCACCCTAACCCCTCTATCCTACCAGTCTCCTGATGGAGATGATGACCTTTTAGCACCCAGTTCAGGGGCTCATCCCTGGAGACTCCATGCAGAACCTTGCCTGCCTTCTGCAGCCCCCTCAGGAGTCCATAAAACACCACCCATGTTGCGGATTTGGCAGGATGTTGCACATCTGCACATACAGGTCTGCAGTTCCCCCAAGCATTCCACCAGAGCAGGTGGGAGGTGTCTGAATGAGGAGGGTTGACAGGTCACCGAGTCTTATTCCAGCAGCCCTCTAGTTAGGTGTGCTATTCTAGTGTCTACAACCCTAAGGGTAGAAGCCCATCATGGCACCGGTGACAGGCAGAACCGTAGCTTTCTGATTTCTCTTCTTAGGTTCCTTAGGGAATGTGGTGGGTTTGAGGCCAGAGCACCCTACCCTGCTGCCTAGGTTCTTCTGCCTCCCAAAGCCTGGTTGGCTCCCTGCTGCCAAGCTCCCCTGCTGCCAAGCTCGTACCTTTTGGGCTGTTGAGCACTAAGAGAACTTCCCTGGGGATTCCATGGCAACACACAAGCTCAGTGGAGCTTCTGAGTTTCAGGGGACCTCTGTGAGCATCCACCCCTTAGGTAGGTATTGAATTGGGGTGGGGCAGGGACCTGGCACCCCTTACCCTGGGAGCAGCAAGAAGGCCTTCTTTGGTGGGTTTATTGAGACAGGATCTGCTAGTGGAGCCAGTTCTGGGTGCCGGGACCTCCCCTTCGGGAGGACTGGTCTGCTGTGAAAAGTCCGCCCTTCGGAGCACTTGAAAGCCTGGCTGTGGGCCAGTATCTAGCCTACTACTCAGAGAGCCCTGGCCCTAAGCAGACTAGAAGAGTGCCCCTGCCCCCCCCCCCCCCCCCCCCCCCCCCCCCCCCCGCAGCCATGCTGGCTATGAACTTAGAGCAGAGAAAGCTGCACCCTGATTGGTCAGTGGGCTCTCCTGGGAGGAGTCTTGAAAGACTTACTCATGGACCAGCCTTCCTCTCACCTGCGGGCTTGGTAGCCTTTGTTACTTTGTTATCATGAGCCTAGTTTGTTTCTATCCGTTGTTGGCTGCCTGTTTCTGGACTCGGGTTAGGCAAAACGACTTCTCGCTACCTTTTTGTTTTCTTCCAATTGCCCTTTACCGGAAGCGTCCTCCTAGAAGGAACCTCCCTGCCTGTAGGGTGCTGATAATAGAATGTCATGTGTGCGGCTGGGGTTATAAACAGCCAGTGCCAGCCTTTGCTATCCGCTCTCTTGTTCTTTCTTGCCTGGTTTGCTTTCCTGTGAGACAGAGTGGGCTGCTTGTGTCACCACCAGCACGGTTCTGATCTCCCTCCCCCCCCCCCAAAAAAAAAAGATTTCCCATCTAAGAAGATTCCTCTTCTCGTGGCCTCTCTCCGTCCACCCTAGCACCGTCCCCGGGCCAGATGGCCTCACCCTTCGGAATAAGAACTGGACTTGGCGCCGTCCTGCTTGCACAGTGTTTCCCACTGGCTTTCCAAACTGTGTGGGTGGAATGAGGCACCAGGCTTCTACCGGCCTCTCCCATCCATGCAGGCAGCAGCAGCTTATGCTGGGTAGGACTGTCACTGGCCCTGCTGACCTCCCCAGGCCCCCGCTGTCTCCCTGGAGCTCACAGTAGCAAGATTGTTCTTGGAACAGGAGAGCTGGGTGTTGGGGGTGGCTGCTGCTGTCAAGAGGCCTGCCACTTCCCTAACCTCTTCCCTTGTGTGGGATAGGTGCATCATCCCCACGGTGGGAGGCGTGTGTGCAGAGACAAGCGAAGGCTGCTTCTCTGAGGACCTGCCATTTAACACTGGGCTGAGAAGTGGGCATCACTCGGTCAAATCCTGCAGATCCGGGCCCCACGGGCAGTGTTTAACAAGCACAATAGTCCTGGATTTCTGGGATCTGCTTGTTTCCCAACACGAAGACTGAGACTCTGAAGGAGTCCTTGGGGTTTCATAGAGTGAGGTCCAAACTAGGACCTCGCCAGGTCTTTGAGATTTGACGGTGAAACGAATCTTAATTGAGCACTCTATGTTCCAGGGAATTTCCAAGTTCAAGCACAGCTGTGCCCTAGAGGCTCCTATCTGTGGAAGCCATTGCCTGGTGTTCCCTGAAGGGACCCATTTGGGTGGGTTAGTTTCCTGGAGCAGTGGGTGCCACCTACACACATTTGCATGTTCACAGCTTAGCAACATATACATGCACGCATACATAAAGTCATGACTCAAGAAGGGTTCTTAGGTAATCCTGTGGCAGTGACAATGTGATCCAAGCCCTAGGGATCCAGGTGGGACAAAAGAGAGTTAGGCAGCTGACATCCAGGTGATAAAAATCCCAGGGCCAGGGACTCCCTGAGCAACCCTGGCTCCTGACCCTGGGCTCTTCCCGATGAGCCTGTAGTCTATACCATGAAATGCTTCCCTCTTACAGGACTTTGTAGCTATTGTGGACCAGCAGAGCTATTATGGCACAGAGGGTCCACAGTGGGGTCCGAATGCCTAACTGCAGAGCCTCCCAAGAGGTCTGAGCTGGCCTTAGGTCCTTCCTTGAACCCAGTCTCATCCAGGGGTCATACAGGCCCCAGGCAGTCGACACTTCTATCCAGACATTTGTGGCCATCATATGTGGGAGGTCGAGGCCAGGGATGCAGGACAGCATCATATTGCATAGGATTGCCCTTCGGCCCCGGATGTCAGCATTGCTGACATTTTTCCTTTAATGATTTAGGAAAGTGAGTCATGGAAGGGGTCACTGCTCCTGTTCTGAGCCCGGGAGGTGGGGTAATAGGGCTCTTGTGGGTTTGCTCTTGGGCTCGGAAACCAGAAGCGGAGTGGGCAGGGCCTTTAACATCACATGACCCTCCGAGGATGCAGGGCTCCTCCCCTTACTGGCATCCCCCTCTGCTTATAGGTGGGGTTGGCTGGCCAGGTGCCACACAGTGGTTCCACAGGCATGGCCAGCCTCTGACATCGCTTGTGGCTGGGGAGTGAAGCAGGGAGCGGCCAGGAAGTCAAGCAGCACTTTCTGTTGCCCTTGGCTCCACCATCACTATTGGTCTGCTAGGCGTGCCGTACGAAACACCGTAAGCTGGGCCACTTAAACAACAGAGATGTACTTTCTCGTAGGTGTCGGAGGCTGGAAGGTCAAGTTGTTACAGGGGTGTTTTCTTCCAAGACTTATCTCCTGAATCTGTGAATGGCTGTACATGACGACAGTCGGGTCAAATGCCTGCCCTATGTGTCTGTCATATACTCCAGTTCCTATGGAATACTAGTTACACCGCCTTAGAATCCGCTCTTCTGACTTCGTCTCAACGTCTTTAAATACAGTCACATTCTCAGGCCATGGGGCTCAGGACTTCACCGCAGGAATGGGACGGGGTGAGGGTGGGGAGGGGGCAGGACCGACACAATTCAGCCCACATAAGCTGACATCAGCTCATGGTCCCCCAGGTTGTGCAGGCTGCACCCCCTGGGTCAGCATCCAACAGTGTGTCCGCTCTGTCTTGTTGGAACCAAGGCTGCAGAGCTTCATAGTTTCTTCGTCTGGGAAGCTGACAAAGCTCGGGTGCTTCGCGTAGAGTCTACTTTGCAAGAGGGTCCCTACCGGCCAGGTTCGAGCCTAGAAAGCAGAATCAGACAGACGTCCTGAGCCTGGGGGCCGGCCGCCCTCCCGGCTAGCTACTCCCACAGGCAGGTGGCGGTGATGCACAGCCGGGGCAGTCAAGGCCAGGAAGCGTAGCATGCTGAGGAAGGAGGTGGTGCTCCCTTGGGGCCTGGTTGGTCCAAGGTTCAAGTGTGAGCGACAGTCTAGAAATCCAGGTGAGGTACACACACACACATCGGGTGAAGGGCAAGGAGCAGCGGGTGTTTTCGATAGCAGGAATCTGGATGGACAGGCAGTAGGCTCCGATGTACCCCAGCTCAGCCCTGCTGGAGCTAGCCTTGGGCTTCCTGTGCGCTACGCCCACCTCGAGTCAGAGCCTCCTTGTCCTTCCATGTGTGGAAGGCAGCCACTCCGTGGTCCCAGGCGCAAGGCAAGAAGGGAGGAGGTCCTGCAGCCTGCTTGGCATCCACCTTCCCCTTTCCTAGTCTGTGGGGGCTAAGGCTGGCCCTTGAGTGGATGGCTCTCTAGATTTTAGTGACTAGTAACTATGGCTAAATGGGTCCCAGGGCTCTTGGGACCTCCCTCTCCCTTCCCAATGGATCATCTCTGGCTTGTCCTCAGGGGGAGCTGATGTCTCCGCTTCTCTTCCTGCAGAGTGAACTGGATTTGGAAAAGGGCTTGGAGATGAGAAAGTGGGTTCTGTCCGGAATCCTGGCCAGCGAGGAGACGTACCTGAGCCATCTGGAGGCGCTGCTGCTGGTGAGCACTCCCTGTTGGGATTCACCTCACACCTCATTCTAGATATCTGCACTTCTCTGGGAGCCGGTAGATACTGACGGGAGACCTCTGTTACCAAGTTTTCCCTTTCTTTTAATTTTCCCTTGGAATTCGAAAACAGTCGAGCCCGAATGTAGTTCAGTGGTAGAACGCCTGTCTGTCCAGCATACCCGAGGTCCTACCTGGACCTGATCGCACAACACCAAAGAAATAAAAGCCGATGTCGCATAACCACCCTGAGGAATCTAGCAAATAATAAGCCCTTTTCACCTGGCCGCTTCACCTTGCCGTCCTCTAGCCCATGAAGCCCCTGAAAGCCGCTGCCACCACCTCCCAGCCAGTGCTGACCAGCCAGCAGATCGAGACCATTTTCTTCAAAGTGCCTGAGCTCTATGAGATCCACAAGGAGTTCTATGATGGGCTGTTCCCCCGTGTGCAGCAGTGGAGCCACCAACAGCGTGTGGGTGACCTCTTCCAGAAGCTGGTGAGTGACTTGGACATGCTGGCACTTGTGGCCACAGCTGGGAAAGGACTAGGTTTGTCCCATGGGCTTGTGCCACAAGGAGACAGTAAGGGAGAGCCCGGGGCGTGTCTCAGTGCCTTTGGTGCCAAAGGGCAGGCCACTGGGAGGGAGGGCTCAGGGACACACGGCCAACCCAGCTAGAGTCGGGTGAGTACGGTGTCCTGTTCTTCTTGGCTTCCAACAGTTTTGCTTGGGGTTTCGAGTGTCCACACACAGATCAGGCTGCCTTTGGGACCAAAGTGGCTTTCCGCAGTCAGACGGGGCTCTTAGTGGCGAATAGAGCGTGGCCTGGGGAGGTGATTGCAGATGGGAGCACAGTGGAGTTTGGTTACAAGTCCACCTCTGTATCTATGGGTGTCTTCATTTGCAAACTGAACTAATCAAATGCTGAAAAAAAAATGATGCATGTACAGGCTCTTCCTTGTCATTAGTCCCTAAATATTACAGCATAGCGACTGTTTACGTAGTGATCCCATTGGATTAGACCTAGAGATGGTTTGAAGTGTGTGAGTCTGGGTTAGTGGTACATACCTGTACTTTCAGCTGTTTGGGGAGGCTGAAACAGTAAGATTGCTTGAGCCCAGGAGTTTAGGGGACCATCCAAGGCCAACATAGTAAGTAAGCGAAGGGAGAAAGGGAGGGTATGTAACCAGGAACCTTCCCAAAGAGCATAGACCAGGTGACAGCCACATTGCTGTGAGGAAGTCTGGTTCCTACAGAGCTGGGTCCCACTCTGATATGAAGGGGCAGAAAGTGTGCCCGGAGGGCATGCACCACCTTACCTGCAGTGAGGCTGCCCTGGAAGGCAGGTACTGTTTTCAAAGCCATTCGGCAAGGAAGGAGGATGGCTAGGCTCCTCGTGTATGAGGGGCCATAAAAACCAAAGACAAGGGCTTGTTGGACAACAGAGTACGAGTTTCTGAAAGTCGTCAGTAGATCAAAACCAACCAAGAATCTGACACACGTCTGTAGAAACACTTGTCAGCTCTCCAGAGCTGTGAGTACTAGCATGGGAATAGGAAAGCGGGGAGGTTGCTGGCAGAACAGCCCAATAGAGAGGTTACCCCATCCTGGAAGAGCCATAGGAAGTCGGTGCTAGCCCTGGTCTCTTTCTGAAGATGGCTGATCCCAATTCCTAGATTGCCCGGGCTTCTTACGCACATATTCTTTGCCTGGAACACTCTCCCTCATGCAGAAAATGAGTCCTTTAGGGTTAGCAGGGGTCCAAGGACAGCCTTCCTACAAGGCTAAAAAGGACCCCCTACACACACTGTACTGGGTTACCCATTCCCCCAGATGGTTGTGGAGCAGAGACAGAGGAGCTGTTGTGTGACACAACTTTTCCTGGGGAGATACACACAGCACACACATCTGCTCACCCCAGTGAGGGATCCCACGACAAACCGAAGTACAGATACCACCAAAGTCCAACTTAGTGAAACAATGAATTTTACTGGGATCACTTACAGGAGCAGAAATAACTCAAAGACACCTGCACCACCAAAGCCCACCCCAGCATGGGTGACAGCCCACAAAAGCTGGGAGCCTAGAACACACGACACAGCCTTCAGGCAGCTCAACAGGTTGGAGGGTGTCCTTTGCGGGTGCCTCAGTTGTTCTAAACCTCTTGTAGGCAGTGTGGTCTGGTCTCTTTAGAGTCTGCAGCTTGTCTTGTCTGAGAGAGACTCTCAGCTTTTATTGTTTACTCTGGCAGAAGGGGCCTAGTGAATCTAGTGAGTTTCAGGGACTTCCTGAAGCCCTTTTGAGTTGTTTACCTTCCTGCTTCAGGAGCTCCCCTGCAGGATGGAATGCTTCAATCTTGAGAAAACGGTTAGGAAGCAGGAGGCCAGGTCCCCAGTCCAGGGTGTGGCTTTCCTGTTGTTTTTCCTTCCCTCTCTGCTGCCCTGGACCTCAGACACATTGGACTAAGGCCAGGAGACAAATCTAACACTTACTTGGTCCATATCTTCTCCTCTTGAGGTCCTTTCCTCGCAGCCGCACTGTAGGAAGCTGTCTTTGGTTCCGTGCACCTCATCTTCCGAGTCCCTTTTCCAACTCTCTCATTATGCCATGTACCAGTAATTTTAAAACTTGCAGAGCAGACTCAACCAGAAACCTCCAGAAAAGCAAAGAATAGCGCTCTTGGGAGAAACCACACCCCACACTCTCCCTAGAATAGCATTCTGAAACCTCCCAGGAACTTCTGTTTTAGAAAACACTAATGAAAACTTTTAATACTAGAACGTAAAATTTAGAAAGTTACTTTTGGTTTCCGTGGTGTTCTTCCACTGTCTACATGCGTGACAGGCTGCAGGGGAATGTCAGTCCCAGTCAGTCTGCTGAATATTGCATGCGTTTTTTTTTTAACCTGGGCTGAATGCTGGGGACTCCCTAGGACAGACAGACACAGTCCTACATGTAGCCCTTTCAGACTGCGGCAAGACTCACTCAGCATCACACTTGGGAGTCCAAGGATGCAGGGAGTTACGTGTACCTCCTCCAACTTTGGTGCCTTCTCTAGAGCCCTGGACTGCTGGGTTATTGCGGTGGTGCAGACGGCCCTTTCCTGTGGTCCACTTTCAGTGTGTGGGGTTTTGTTTCTGCTTGAAGTTCTCACGCCTCCTCCCTCTCTGATTGAGGATCCAGTCCTGTCCAATGTTCTATGTATTTGACTATGATGTCTCTTTAGGCACCTTCTATTGATATTAGCTCCTTGAACAGACATTTTCAGAAGGGCACAGGCTGCTTTGAGTTTGTCAGATGTTTCCTTAGACCTTTCTGGTAAAGAATGACCACAGTATAGGGATCCATGTCCATCACAGGACATCCTATCTAGATACTGGCAATCCTTTTTTTTTTTTTTTTTTTTTTTTTGAGACAGGGTTTCTCTGTGTAGTTTTGGTGCCTGTCCTGGATCTCACTCTTTAGACCAGGCTGGCCTCGAACTCACAGAGACCCACCTGGCTCTGCCTCCCAAGCGCTGGGATTAAAGGTGTGTGCCACCACCACCCGGTTTGGCAATCTTTATGCTTACCATTATTATACAGCTCCAGTTTTGGGTTACCAAAAACATAAGAATTGATTTTTCAGAATTTCTCATCCCTGAAAGAAGTAAGCCCCTTAGGCAAAGAGGAAAGGAAAGGAGAAGCCATGAAAGTGGTCCTCTACCAAAACACTCCAGACTCTGCATAGCCATCTCCTCTCCTGAGAGGCCATCATGCTCCTCAGGCATCTGGGAAGCCCTCACTCAGGGGCCTGCGAAGGAGGAGGGGGTGGGAGGAGGCAGTACTCCGGGTGTTATGGTTGTTCACGGAAGGACAGCCTGGAACTCAAGGATGCGGCCATTTCTCTGGCGTGGTTAAAAGTGTAGGAGCTGTGTAGGGGTGTCTTCCAGCCCGTCTCTTTCCTTGGAGGACACCCCATACCTTCTGTGCAAGCCCAATGGGAGCACAGCCAGATCAGGCCCGGCCTATCCAAGGGCACCAGGTTTTATCTAGTGTCTGGAATTGTCATCCCCAGAAATAGGAGAGCCCATATAAATGCAAATGCCCATGAAATTTAGGCTCAACCCAGAGAAAATTCCAGGAACAGCAAATGCATCAGGCTTCCAGCTCCTGGGCAGCTGCTGTGGGGGGCTCAAACCTAGCCAGCGTGACTACCCCGTGTCCACATGCTGTCCCATGTGAACCCTGGTTTGTTTGTGTTTCTTCACTGCCCCAAAATGATGTGAGACCCAGAGATAACTGTGGTGGTGGCACACACCCCCTTCCATCTACCCATGGAAAACTGTGGCTTAGTTGAGTGTGTGTCTGGGCAGAAGCCCAGTGAGGGAACCCTCTATTAACGTCTTTAGTCAAATAAAGAACAAACAAAATATCTCTCACCTTGCGGTGTATAAGAGGCAGGTACCCCTGTGAGGTCTAAGAAGGGCAGCTAGTCGTGAGAGCTCCTCTGTCCAGTCAGCCAGACTGTTCCTTACCTGCCTGACAGGATCAGATACGAGCGCACCACCATAGTTACCAGGGTCCATGGACCATGGCCAGGATGGCCTCCTCCATCTCCCCTGCACGGAGGCATTTATCTGGATCCTCATCTCAAGTTGAAGCCGCTCCTCACGGCACCCTTTATGCAAGGGAGGTGGGAGGAATAAGGAGCTCAGAAGGGAGCCATTACCTGTCCAGGGCCGTGACTCACTTCTCAACATGTCATTTTAGGAGAGGGAATCGTGCTTGGTGTGTGGGGAGGTAAAGCAGGTGGGAGGGAAGGAGCAGCACGGAAGAGCTGAGGTCTCTGCAACGCGCGCGTGCTGTCTGTACCTGGGCTTTTTTTTTTCCAGAGCAATGCACGAGAGCCCAGTCCTCAGGAAGGTGGGGAGCCGCTCCCTCTCCCACCTCTGCCTCACTCTCCCCTCCTTCCTCTCCGCAGGCCAGCCAGCTGGGTGTGTACCGAGCCTTTGTGGATAACTACGGGGTGGCCATGGAAACCGCAGAGAAATGCTGTCAGGCCAACAGTCAGTTTGCAGAGATATCTGAGGTAATGAGTGAGTGCCGTGACGCGGTGCAGGCCAGAGTGCTGCTGACTCCCACCCGTAGCCTCCCACTCCCTCGATGGGTTGCGGGCTGGTGGTTGGGAGAACAAAGTATACCAGATTAAAGACTGGGTAGGAACCCCGGCTCTGACTCAGAGTCTGCTGCCGGGTCATCTGCGTCGCAGGACACTGTTGTGATTCAGTAGGAGCCGTCCCTCACAGTGCCGTTTGTTACCCAAGGGCCAGGGTCTGAGTCAAGATGTCTTCATCTTTTTCATGTTGCTCTTACACACTGTTCACCGTGTACTTTGTAAAGAATATAAATGTATTTGGTTCTGGTTTGGGGACTGAGAAGCCTGACGACACTGAGGTACATCTGCTGAGGCTCTTCTCTCTATAGCCTAACGTGACGGGATGTCACATGTCAGGACCGAGCAAGCAGACTAGCTCAGTTGAGGTGTACCCTCATGGCCTCATCTAATCCTAACCACCTCTTAAAGATCCCAGCTTCAAACACAGCATGTATGGCAGGGATTTATGCTCCCAGCACATGGGCTTTAGGAGGAACACATTCGAACATCAGCAGCCATGTTCCCTGGGCTCTCCCTTGTTTTGTCTGTCGTTATTATAATTCTAACCCTCTGACCTATGGGAGTCCTGTGTCTACTCCACAGTCTTGTCACTAGAGGCCGAGAGGAAGCCATCAGCTTAGCCAGGGTTGCTGTCCATAGACCTCCACTGTCGGAAAGCTCCGGGCTGTATCGCCCTGGGTCTCAGGGTTGCTTATCTCCCTGTTTGCATTTAACCTTGAAGGAAGGAAGCCACAGGGTGTCGTGAGCCTCTGGGCCTTAAAAGAGCCCCTCGAGTACAGAGAACCTGAATAGGACACTTGGGGCTGGCAGCCAAGTCAGGATTAGAGCTCACTATCACCCTTGGGTCTCCATCTCTCGACACAAGGGCTCTTCTCCCTTCCCCATCATATCTCTGCAATGTCAGTGGCAGCCATGTGACATTTTTCTTCGGAGGGGGGGGGCAGCTTGTCACTGTCACCTCTGTACAGTTCCCCCTCCTCAGAGCTTTGACTGACTTCTCTATTCCATCAAACAAGGATTCTGGGAGGAAAGATATCCATGCAGAGAGGCAACATTAGAAAGGAAAATGTAGGGGCCGGAAGGTGACTCATGGGTAAGAACACTTATTTTACGAGCATGGGACCCTGAGTTTAAAACCCTCGCACCTACGTAAAAGCAAGACATGGCCACATGTGCCTGTAATCCCAGGGTGAGAAGGCAGAGGCAGGAGCCTGCTGGCCGGCCAACCCAGCCGACTTCAAAGGGAGAGCTTTGTGTTCCGAGAGAGACCTTGCCTCAAGGGCATAAGGTGGTGAGTAACCGAGGCAGACACTCAACATTCCCTCCTGTGTCCTACTCGTGTGTAAGGGATGACGTCAAGACCAGTTTGACGTCAACAGTAGCACTAGGGGGAAACACACGCACGCACACACACGCACACACACACACACACACACACACACACACACACACACTTTTACAAAGGAGAGTGGAAAAACTAAACACCCAAGATGAGTCAGGTTTCTCTTGCTGAGAGAAAACTTTTGACTATCATACCTGATCTGTGCTCCAGGGACTTTGTACCATTTTATCATTTATCACACATCTGTGGCCTTGGCTCTGGTCACCTCCCATGGTTAACAGCTTGTGCTCCATTACATTCCCAAGCCTACGAAGTGTCCGGTTCCCTGTCAGCCCTATTTACCTCAGGTGTGCAGTCTGCTCCTTCCTTATCCCTCTTCATTAACTAACTACTTTCTGTACCTTTATCAACTTCAGTGTTTGTACAGAATCCCAAGTGGCCCCGACAGATAAAAGATTTGATTCTTGAAAAACAGACTGTAATGAAGTGGCTAAGTCTGAGTCCACCCAGACAGGATTCTACCCAAGGAGAAAGCTGTGGTGGGTTGCCACCCGGGAGGATGTTTGCATGGTCCTACTGACCGCTGCAGTGGGAGTCTGAGCCAACACTGGGATGCAAGGAGCAGGCCTGTGGCTCTCTCTGAACCTTGATTGTTCTGGTTACCACCTGAGCAGCATTTCTACTGTTCCCTGTTTTTCAAAAATGCTTCAGAGAGATTGGAGCTGCCTGAAGAGAACAAAGTTAAGTTCAAGGAAGAAGCAGCAGCTGTGTGGTTGCCAGGGGACTGGGTCCTAGGGCTGTCAGTGCTCATGCGTGGAGCTCTCTGTAAGTTCATCCCTAAGTACAGGGCAGGTAGTGGACTTTCACTCTTCCCCAGGGCCGTTGTGAGAGATGTGTGAAGTGGTACCCAGTTAGACCAGAGATGCCCACCTGGCTTCTGTGGGGTTCTACTTCTCCAGATGATAAATGAGAGCTAGATAAGAATGACTTTGGGAGTCAGGTGTGTGGAGGAAATGTGTCATTAAACTCAAGGCTCCTTGAGGCAGGACGCCTTGTACCTTAAACTGTCCGGGAGAATGTGGAGTTTGGGCTGATTCCCTGATCCCATGAGTCTCTCCTTTAGCTTCCATGCCTCCTTCTACCCTTTGGGAACTACTGAGTAAGATGTAAGTGGGAACAACCACTGCCAAGGCTGTTAACCTCTGAGGAAAAGTACTCAAGTACCCATCAGGCGTTGGCCCTGATGAGCTAGGGAATACTAATACCATCTTCCAATCCCAAGATATTACTTGTAGCACGGAGGATTGGGAGAGTGATCCCAGAGGCCCTTCTTGTTCCTATGCTGGTTATGAATTTGCTGAGGAGCTTAACGTCATGTCTCCAGTAGCATCTCTGATCAAATGAGACGTCTTTGATGTCATTCCATTAACAATCCTTGCTTTCAATCTTAGTGCCTCCTTTTATAATAAAGCAGTTCATTGGCACATTGTAGCGAGTATGTATGTGTATTTCCACTCATGAGACCGACTGAAGGTAAAACATGATATCCGTCTGGTGGTGCCCCATCCCTGCCCCCACTGCACTGGCCATCACCAAAGGTGAGTGAGGACTCTTCTGAATAACCAGCTACTTGAATGCAGTTAAACTGCCCTGTGCAGAATTCTCCATCTCAGAGGTCCTCATCTGTAGATGACTTTGCTCCTGAAGGAGCATTTGGCAGGAGGATGGATTGTTACTGCACCCATACATAGGGACACAGGGATGTGGCTTATGGCAGCCACATGGGGCAGACACTCGAGACAAGGAATTTCTGACCCCTCAATGCCCGCACGGGGTGCTGAGGTTGAGAAACCTTGTCTTAAGGGAACATCTGGGGCCGTGGTTCTCAGTCTTGCTAATGCTGTGACCCTTTAATACATTTCCTCGTGTAGTGGTGACCACTCCCCAACACCATAAAATTATTTTGGTTGCTACTTCGTAACTGTCATTTTGCTACTGCTGTGAATCCTAATGTAAACATCTGTGTTTTCTGATGGTCTTAGGCAACCCCCTGAATCCCCCCCCCACCTCCACCCTGCATGAAAAGGTCACTTGTCCTCCAGTGGGGTTGCGACCCACAGGTTGAAAACCACTGATCTAGGGGCACCCGTGGTGCTTGCTCGTCTTGTTCACAGGCCACGGCTCTACCCGTTTTCATTAGGTGGCTCCGAGTGCCGCCTGACGCTTGCTGTACATAGGGGCTCTGTGGGGAGGAAAGACCAAGCTCTCTGTTCCAGCACTGTCCAAACTGCTTCTGCCATTCCGTGTGAGCATGTGCTCTTCTCTCTGCAGAACCTGAGAGCCAGGAGCAACAAGGATGCCAAGGACTCCACCACCAAGAATTCTTTGGAAAGTGAGTTCTCTCTGCAGAGCGTGCTCTGTGCTGTGGTTGGCTTGTCTGTCTGTCTGTCTGTTTGTTTACTCTTTGCTCTGTGGGGGCCAGCCACCCAGCTCCCAAATTAATACGCGGAGACTTATTCTTACTTAAGAATGCCCAGCCTTAGCTTGGCTCCTTTCTTGCCAGCTTTTCTTAAATTACCCTGTCTATCTTTTGCCTCTGGGCTTTTACCTTTCTGTATCCCCTTCTTTACTCTTACTCCATGGCTGACTGTGTAGCTGGGTGGCTGGCCCCTGGAGTCCTCCTCCTTCTCCTTTTTACACTCTTGTCTCTCTTCCTGTTTATTCTCTCTGCCTGCCAGCCCCGCCTGTCCTTTCTCCAGCCTTGCTATTGACCGTTCAGCTTGTCATTAGACCAATCAGGTGTTTTAGACAGCCACAGCAACACAGCTTCACAGAGTTAAACAAATGCAACATAAAAGAATGCAACACACCGTTTCATCATTGAACAAATGTTCCACAGCATAAACGAAGGTAACAACACATCTTCAACTAATATTCCACACCACTGTGCCTTCGTGGTGGTGACCACTTCCAGCAGAGGGAGTGTTGTTGGAAAGACAGACACGGCGACACCTCGTTGGATCATTGCCATCATCTTCCCAGTTCTAGACTTCAAGTACTGAGAGTGAGGAGGAACGAAGGCCAGCCTGGGTCATGGCGGGGGCAGAAGGGATGAGGTCACTAACCGTGACCCCAGGAAAACATTGCAGGAGTTAGCAGGTACCACCATCTGCCAAGCTCCCTGTGGGGCCATGGGGAAAGGTGCTTGCGGCCATGACTGATGACCTTGATCCACACGCTAGAAGGAGAGAGCCAGTTCTCAAAAGTTACCCTACAAATGCCACATGCATACACCCATGCCTGCTGTCCAGTGCATGTGCATGCATATGCACACACAAAGCTAATTAATCTATATCGTTAAAAGGGTATTAAGGAGGGGTGCTGGAGAGATGCCTCAGAGGTTAAGAGCACTGGCTGCTCTTCCAGAGGTCCTGAGTTCAATTTCCCAGCAACCATATGGTGGTTCACAACCATCTATGAGATCTGGCGCCCTCTTCTGGCGTGCAGGCATACATGCAGGCAGAACACTGTATATGTAATAAATAAATAACTCTTTCTCAAAAAATTTTTCTCAAAAAAAAAAGACATTAAGGGTCTGGAGAGATAGTTCAGCAGTTAAAAGCCCTAACAGCTCTTTCAGAGGACCCAGGTTCAGTTCTCAGCACCCACCTACATGGCAGCTCACATAGACACAATATTAATCACATAATAAATATCACATACTAAAGTCTTACTGTGAAGACCAGCGAGGTGGCACACACCAATAATCTCAGCATTCGGGAGACATTTAGGAGAAACTTACATTTGAGGCTGGCCTGGAATACATAGTGAGACCCTGTCTGAAAATAAATCTACACGTTGCTGTGCCCGGTGTAGGGACAAGCAGTAGTAGCCTGAGCTACTAGGGAAGCTAGGGTGGAGGATTGCGAGTTTGGGGCTAGTCTGAGCAAGTGAGAGCCCCATTTTAAGATACTTGTTAAATTTTTTTAATTTTATGTATTTTATGTATTTTTGTTTTATGTATATGAGGGTTTTGCCTAAATGTATGTATGTGTACCATATGTGCCTGGTACCGAGACCAGGAGAAGGCATTAGATACCTTGGAACTAGAGTTGCAGGCAAATGTGAGCTGGAAAGAACAGTAAGTGCTCTTAACCACTGAGCCACCTCTCCAGGTCCCAAATACTACTACTACTTCTTATTATCACTAGTTGTTGTTGTTTTTATTAAATACTGTGTGTGTGTCTCTATGTGGGTCTGTGCACATGAGTGTGGTTTTGTCCTTGGAGGCCAGAGGCAGTGAATTCCCCTGGAGCTGGACTTACAGGTGGTTGTGGGTGCTGGGATCTGAACTTGGATCCTCTGGAAGAACAAGAAGTGTACTTAACAACGGAGCCCTTCTCCAGTCCCCCCCAAATACTTTAAAAATTGTCTTATTTTAATTGTGTGTGTGTGTGTGTGTGTGTGTGTGTGTGTGTGTGTGTGTGTGTGTGTGTGTGTGTGTGTTGGGGGAGGAGACTATGCATATTGCGTCCCCTGAAGCTGGAGTTACAGGTGCCTGTGAGCTTCCTAACGTGGGTCCTCTGGAAGAGCAGCATGCACTCTTAAGTGCTGGGCCATCCCTCCAGTCCTCTTAAAATATCTTTTAAGAATATCATCACGATGTCTCCACTGGCCCTGAAAGGATTGTATTGTCTCTTCTTTTGTAAGTATTAGTCTAGTTTCTGCTGCTCCAACTGAGTAGCACTACTGAGTTCTTTATTTTATTTCATTGGTTTTTTGAGACAGGGTTTCACACTGTAGTCCAGACTTGCCTGGAACTCACTGCTCTCCTCCTGACTCTGCCTCCCAGGTGATGGGATTACTAATAAGAGCTGCCACACGTGACTTAACTGAGCACTCTACAGGGAAGAAAGGCTTCTTAGCATACACAGCGCCTGTGCTCAATCTCAAGTAATACACACAAGCACACACACACAGCCTAAAAGGGTGAGAAGTTCAAGGTCAATCGTTTCATCCAGTAAGGGCGCTCTTGCCAGTGGGGCCACCACACAGCAAGGCAAACAAGTATCCAAAAGAGATAGTTCAAATGAATGGCAAAGCTACTTCCTTGATAATCCTTGAATAGATGAATTCATTCACGGGGGCAGAGCCCAGTCATGTTTCAAAGGAAAAACATATCAACCATGGATAGCAAAGACCAAGGCAAGGGCATCATCACATAAAGTGCCTGAGTGGAATGCAGGTAGGTAGGCAGGCAAGCGATGACTCCTGGGACCATGTGTCTGTACTAATCAAAAAGTAGTAAGTTGCTTCTTGTTTGGATTGTTGGGCTCTTGTGAACAGTTAGGCTGGTGTGAACAGGAGGGGTTAGGCTGGTGTGAACAGTTATATTCACTCATAAGGAACAGTGAACGTAGTTCCATTCCCCAGAGCTCACCCCTTAGCCCTTCTGAGCCCATTTTCCCTGTGTATAAAACAGAAACAGCAGTGTATGTCCTGAAGCCATCATGGAACTCATGTAAAGAAGTGTACTTGGCATATGTTAGGAAGACCTTGAGTGTCTGTGCTCATGTGAACCATGCTCATCACTGTGTGGGAGAAGCAAAGATGGCCAGGGCTAGCCTTAGTGCCCCCAAATGAGCTCCCATCCCAGCACCCACCAGATCTAGAGCTCTATTTTGCACCCCACTTGGCTTTTGCCATTCTTGGATCCAGGTCTCTCAAGCTTGTCCAGCCATGGACTTGGAGAGCCACATCCTGGTCTGCTCCAGGGTAGGATCGGGGCCCTCGCTATCCTTCTGGACAGTCCTGGGCAGCAGCACATCCATACTGAGCCTTTCCAGTGGCTCAGGCCTGAGCAGCAACCCTGAACTTAGCTGGTAGCATGGCCGACAGATACCCCAAGTTTGCCCTCAACGGCCCTGCAAAGGGGAGGTAGGACTTCCCTTCTTCCTCTTGGCCTGGCAGCAGCAGTGGGTCGACAAGCATGTTGTTTTCTCCAGTGTGGTCATGTCTCCCCCTGCTTGTCTCTCCACAGATCTGCTCTACAAGCCTGTGGACCGGGTGACAAGGAGCACGTTAGTCCTTCACGTGAGTCCCATCATAGAAGCGTGACAGCTGCCTCCCAAGGTGGCCTGGCTCCTCTCCCTGTCCTCAGGCCAGCTAGGGAAGGCCTCTTCACTTAGGTCTCCCATCCTGAGGTTAATGCTGGTCTTTGGCCCGCCTCTCAACCTGTGCCCAGCCGTCCCATTGCCACACACTCATGGAGAATTCAGGACCTCCCTGGAGGCTTCTGGGGAACAGAAGCAGTATCTCTTGGTGCTCCCACAGGGACAGACAGGGAAGGAGCATCCTGTCCCACGTGAGCAGGGGTCTGTAAGTGGGAACATTTCTGGTAGTGAAGTGTGTGAGCTGAGTGAGGTTCCATGGAAAACAGGCAGGGCTGGGGGAGTGGGCCGGTATTGCAACGGGAATCCCACTACCAGGAGGTTTTCCTATGCTGAGAAACAAAAGCAGAAAACAGAAACAACTCCAGTCTTGCTGCCTGGGGAAACCCTGTTAATAATACCATGCATGCTTACAAATTCCAGACACATTTTTTTTTTTAATGTACAACCAATGCACAAGAATTTTATGATGTTTCTTTTTTTGTTCCCCTCCCACTAAGGAGTCCCCACGAGAGGGCCTGTTGCGTGTGAGCTAACATGTGAACCTCTTTTTTAATTACTCAGAAGGTGGCGTCCTCTACGTGTTCACACCACGGGGTCCTTTTATTTATGTCTATGGGTACTTTATCTGCATGTACATCTGCACACCAAAAGGGGCATCAGAGAGTTGTGAGCTGCCATGTGGGTGCTGGGAACTGAGCTTGGGACCTTCGGAAGAGCAGTGAGCACTCCTAACCCCTGAGCCATCTCTCCAGGTCCTACTTTTTCCCTTTTAATAACGTATATGGAGATTATTATTTCGTTTTGGTCTGGGCAGCTTTGTCTCATTTTTCAAAGCTGTGTAATATTCCGTTGTGCAGCAGGGTTTTGCTCTGTAGCCTAAGCTGACCTTGAACTCATGGTTCTTCTGCCTCAGCCTCCCAAGTGCTGGGATTACAGGCATATGCTACCATACTCACCTTTATTATTCTTTTATCATGCTCTGATTGCAGTTTTGGATGGGTCTGGAGAGATGGCTCAGCAGTTAAGAGTGTGTACTGCTCTTCCAGAGGGCTTCAAGTTTGATTTTCAGTATCCACATCAGGTGATTCACAGTCACCTATAACTCCAGTTCCAAGGGGATGGTACCTCTGAGCTCTGTGGGCAGGAGCTCTCAGGGTGACAGATCTTGAAGCATCCAGTTACATCCACAATCAAGAGCAGAGATGGGATGAATGTGTGTGCTGTACAAAGTTGGCTTTCCCCACTCTTACACGATTCATAATGCCCTGACTAGGGAGTGGTACCACCCACCGTGGGGAGGTCTTCCCACCGAAATTAATATATTCAAGAAAATTCCTTATAGGTATGCCTATAAACCATCCTGTTCTAGACAACTCCTCATTAAGGCTTTCTTTCTAGATGACTCTAGAATTGTGAAATAGTAACAGTTCAGAGGTTCTGTCCAGGTGGCCCATCCATTTGACTCTCTGAGATATTGCCACCTGCCTGTGGCTGTGATTGGTCCAGATATCAGACACGTGTGTAATGAAGCACCCTGGGAGAGAAAACCAGAGCCGCCTGGGAGTGGGGGGGGGGGACCTACTCATCTCTCCATGTCTTCTTTGTAGTGGGGATTAGGAGTTGAAAGGGTTTTGTTTCTAAATCAGGGAGCTAGCTGTTCACCATGGGCAGGAACAATTTGCCCTTGTGGTAAATAAATTATTAATACTCCTGTCTGGGTAGGAAGAAAGGCCGAGGCTCTCATCTGAAGGAAGGGGAGCCTGGAGGACCCAGGGCTTTCTCCTAGCCTTGTATAGACCAGGGGTTCTGGGCCATGATCAGTTCTGCCCTTAAGGAGCCAGCATCAATGACCAAAGACATATTGGTCATCACAGATGAAGATGAGAGAATGTTTACAGCCATCTAGTGCATGCAGAGGCCAGCAGTGGTGCTAAACGCCTGGAGCTGTACAGAAACAGCCCTTTTCATTCCACTATAACAAAGAGTTTGGCCCCAAATGTTAATTATAGCAAGAACAGAAACCCTGCCCTAGGTCTATTATAGTGGTAGATCCTCCTTACCGGGTTTTCTGGGCATGCCATGGGGACCAGGGCCTCTTCTGGAATAGAGTTCACCCAAGTGCTCTGAGAGCAGGGGGCCTGCAGCTCTGAACCGCAGCCAGTGTGAGTGTGCGGTTTTCACACGGCGGTCTGTGCCGATCCCGTTCTAACTCTAGTCTTCCCACCTGGGCCAGGACTTGCTAAAGCACACTCCAGCCAGCCATCCCGACCATTCCCTGCTGCAGGACGCCCTCCGCATCTCACAGAACTTCCTGTCCAGCATCAATGAGGAGATCACACCCCGTCGGCAGTCCATGACGGTGAAAAAAGGAGAGGTGAGCATTGGCTGAGCGTGGCACCCTCCATCTCAGGCACAGAGAGCCCCTTGCTGGTCCTTAGCAGGTGGCTCAGCACAGCACAGGACACGTGTGGTCCTTGGGGAATCCATGACTCTGCCAGGTACAGCAGGGCATCTGGGTAAAGTCAAAAGGGTGACCTTGTACTGCCATGGCCACATCAGCCTCTGTCACTGCCCCTCACTCAGCCACCTCTTTCTTTTTTCTGTTTCTGTTGAGTTAAGCCTGGAGCATCTCTCATTGTTTTTCTCATGCTCCACCAGCTCAGGTCCCCACCCGAAGCAATGGCGAGCAGAGGATAGCATTTTGTGTGCCTAGACCTGCCACCATCTCCTGGTGTTTTCTTGGAAAACTGCTAACACTAGATTTAAGGGTTTACATGTCGGACAAAGAGAAGGAGCCACAGTTTTGGGGAACGTGAGTCTGGCTAACGAAGTCGGTATCTTCAGAGCTTCACTTTCTCCCTGTGGCAGCCACTAATGGTGATTCTGTTTCTGTGCATCATCAGTAGGCAGCCCTTGGCCTGTGCTCCTAGCTGCTTCTGACCCTTTGAAGGAGGAGCCCAGCACGTTAACGAGGCACGTACCTTTTCGGTTGGGTGGAATCTGGTGAGGACAGAGGCAGGGCAGGGAGCTGGAATCTAGCGCGAGCATCCTTTGTCAGAAGTGGTGTTAGAGTTAAGGAACCTGCCCTGTGGTCTCTGGAGTCTGTGCAGAGACAGGAGCTGTCAGACCTAGGCAGGACATGGGAAGGCCATGCCATTGACTGCAGGTGCTTGGGGACTTTTCCTTCTTCAGTATAGTGACAGATGAGCTACTCTTGGCTCCCACCCCCCCGCCATGTGCTTCCCTGGGAAGAGCTGGTCTACATGTTGGGTTGAAAGTACTCACTTGGCCACAGTCTAATTGGGCTTATGAGTGAGGTGCCTGGGCACGTTTCTCTTGGTGGGTCTGACCCAGGAGGAGCCGGGGAAGAGGAGGGAACTGTCCTTCAGTTCCATTCACCGGGCCTGTCCAGGCTCTGGAATAAAGCCAGCTCAGGCTCTGTCCCAGTATCCTGAGGGCCTGCCCCGGAGCATCCCACCACTCACAGCTTCTCCCTTCTAGACCCAGGCTTGGTCTCTACAGTAGGATCGGGACATAACTCACCTCCCTGGGCCCCTGGGCCTCCAAGTGATGCGATTTTTGGAAAAGGCAGTAAATGACAGCCCTCGGGCCCTGTGTGTCCACTCTTCAGTTATCGTTAAGTCCATTGAAGACAGAAGTGGTGGGACCCTAGCTTCACTAGGAAAAGTGTTGAGTGGAGCAGTTTCCTACCTTCCCAGGGGAGCCAGGAAGCAGGTCTCGTCTGAAGTGACATGGGGCCTTGCACCTGGTTCTCACTTAAGGCCACTGGATGAGGGCAAAGCCTGTGCTTTCCCATCAGCAGTCACGGTTTCTAACTTGGTGTTGGGTCTGTATCCGCCAGGATCTCGTGTATCGATTGGATGCCTGCGGAAGTCACCCATCCCACATGGCGCTTCTCTTCTTTCTCTTTTGCCGGCTGTTCGTTTCTGAGAGAGCTTGACCCGAGAAACGAGCATTTGAACCCCTTTTCCCTTGGCCCTGAATGCGGGGCCAAGTTCACGCGTGTATCCCTGCCCGCTGTCTAGGATCCTTTAAAAGATGTATTCAGAGCATTCAAATCAGCTGCCTTAGGGACTGAGGATTTGATGTCACCTGGAAGTTAGCAGCTAAATCCCTATTCCCACATCTGTCCGTAGTGTTGAGGGCAGAGTGCTTTATGAAGGCCGGAGACTCCCTGCAGAGGAGTCAGCCGGGGCTCCCTCAGCTGCTTACAGGCCCTGCAGGTTTGCAATCCTGACTTAACACCCCTTCATCCAGCACTGTCCATCAGCACCTCAGGGCTTATTAAGCCAGGATGACCTCCTATACTTGTGCCCTGTGGTCCCCAGACATGTCGGGTCCTCAGCATCCTCCTCAGTATCCTTCCACCCTCGACACAGTGCTTGACGCTGCAGAAGAGGTGCTAGAGGGCAACCTTCCAACCCCGCGCCGATCCTCACCCACTGCTTGCCTGTGGACCTGATCTGGGCCCCCTCCGCCTTGAGTGTCTGTGTTCTCTAAGGACAGTGACCCCCTCCACTGGGCGGTGGTGAAGCTGAAAGTGATCTCTCCTATGAAACAGAGGTGGTGACATGGAGATGCCTTCTGTGTTGAAGATGGTGAGCGACACCCTTCATGTCACCATCCAGGAAAGACCCCATAAGTTTCCCAGCGTGGTGAGCCGGGGCATTGTGGAGAGACCCAAGTGTGAGCCGTGGGTAGCACCTGATCTCCAGTATGTCTGCTGGGAGCTCTTCGTGTTTTTCTGCCAAGTCTCCTGACTCCAGGGCTGGCCCTTTTTTGGAAGTGTCTGGGCAGCGTTAGAGGTGGTTTCCAAACTGGACAGTGGCCAGCAGCTGCCCCGGCAGGCCAGAATCCTTGCGCGAACACACCAGGAGCTACCCAGCATGAGGAGTGAGGGCTTGAGATCTCGGCTTTTGGATCAAAGGACCTTGCAGACACATCCGTCCAGGCCCTAGTCCTGTGAGCTGGCGGGCGGGTGTGCACTTGTTTGGCCAAATTAACTTCACAGTTAGGTAACTAGGTCCCTGCTGCTCAATGATTTCCTCCAAGCGGTTGTTGCCTGTCTGCTTTGAGCTCTACCCTGTGTGCAGCTTAGGGCTTGCAAGAGTAGCAGATGAGTCCAGTTCTCTCCCTGGGCTTCTAGCGGCCCCTTGTGGAGGAAAGCAGGCAGTGGCTTCTGAAGGTGCTGTAATAAGGAATTTAGCCAGAGGACTAGGGCTAGGGAAGGCTGAGAGGCAGTGGGGCTCAGACAGAGAACACTAGGCTTTCCTGCTGATGATTAAAAAGAGTGGGGGACTAAGGATATACCTCACTGGCAGAGTGCTTGCCTATCATGCTTGAAACCCTGGGCTCCATGCTATGCACGCACTCATACACACACACACACACACACACACACACACACACACACACACACACACACACACACACACAGTCGTGGAATCACTACAGCTGGAAAAGTCAAACCCATTTGCAGCAGGTGTGGAGAGGGTGGTGAGCAGAGGTGAGGGCAGGGTGAGGCCCCCAACTCCACCAGCACTTGAGTAGTGGGCAGTGCTTGCTTGGTGTCATGATGAGGATGGGCAGGGACCGCAGAGCCCCACAGCCCATGCAGAGGGCTCAGAACTGTAAGTACAGAACAATATCAGAATATATATATACACAAGGGCCCTGGATTCGGTCCTCAGTACCCATAAAAGCCCAATAGCCTCTGTGGGTATGCTGTTTCATTTAATCCTCAAAAAAGAAAAAAAAAAAGCCACTGAACAGGTCTTTTCCCTCCCGTTTTAACTTTTTATGTCTGTAACACTGGCGTGGAACCCAGGGCCTTGTACATGCTAGGCAAGCATTTTGTCACTGGACTGTTAGTTCAACCCCCTCCCCACCCCACATCTGAGTTTTAAAGAAACAGAAACCAAGTCAACAAGCTGTGTCAAAGGAGAAAGAGGGTGTAAGCCTTAAACCCATAACAACGTGCTTCTGAATTTGGTCTTCCCCAAGGAGGTCCTGGATGGGCTGGTTCCCAAGCGATGCCAGGAGACAGGCAGTGAGAGTGGAGAAGACCCTGGATCTCTTCTCTCCAGGATGCCTGGCCAGGTTGGGTACTTAAGAAGGCCCTTCCAGCTGGTATTTCCTACCTGGACATAGAGGACTGCCCAGAAAGTGCCCCCCACCCACCAAACCATACGCACATATCTTCCTCCACTGCTCTGCCCCCACAACATGGGGACAGAGACCCCTGCACAGGGACTCCTGCCAGCACACAGGACACGCACATACGGAGAAACCAGGACTTACACACCAGCCGCCACACACGGGAACATACACACATCCCAGGACCTCTCCCCCTGTCCTCTTGTACACGCTCTGGCCATTTCAGCAAACGTCCTTCTCTGAGCTACAGACTCTTTAGACCTGGGTCAGCAAGTTCCTGGGCTGTCTGCCCTTCAGCTCTGTCTTGGGGCAGGGGTGGGGCGGGGTGGGCTGCACTGGGTGAGACTTTGAGTCAACAGTTCTTCCGGACTGCCTGACCTCATTTAATTTTTTTAGCACCCTGTTGATGCTGTTAGCAGAGGTGGCTCAGCCTTGACCTTGCCTGTGTACCCTGGAGAATGGGGGCAGGCTGGATGGGAAGGCATGGCTGAGCACCCTGTATCCAGGCTGACGAGCACTTCTGAGCAAGGTGTCCCCTGGGCAGACTGAAGCTGTGCAAGAGTCTGAAGTCATTGATGCCATGTGAGCTGGCCCAGCCAGACTGACCGGGCTGGCCAGAGTCTGCACAGGAGCCAGGGTTCCAGGAAGGGAATGGGGGGAGGCAACAGAGGAGTTGGATTTGCAGTGGAGACTTCTTAGCAAGGTTACTGTTAGGTCTCTGTTGTCCATTTCCTTATCGTAGATTCCTCCCTGCATTCTCTCTCCCACCCCCACCCCCACCCCCCGCAGCTGTTTCCCAGGGGGAGGTGATGGAGGATGGAAGAAGTGAGACTGTCTTAGCCCCTCCCCACACGATAGAGCTTCTCGCTGGGCTCAGAGCAGAGTTGAGACCAGGCCTGGCCAACCTCCTGAGCTATGGAGGAGGCATCTGCCCAGAAGTCCTATCGATCTTAACTATAAAGCAGGGCAAGACTGCCAGCCTCGAGACTCTGCCCTCCGGGCCCAGGGCAGTCCTCATCCTGTGGGACTGGGCCTGCCCTCCCTCTGCCCACGGCTGCCATCACCCACTGACCCTTCCTTCTCTGATTCCAGGCCTCCCTTCCTGGGTGGGCTGTTGTTAGGTTTGGGACCTCACCTGTTGTCCCAAGGCTAGGAGGCCCTCCTCCCTTGGCTGTTGGATGCTCTGTTCGGGTGGAACTGCCCACGCCCTGGGGCTCAGAAGTCAGATCCCATGCTGCTTTGCACAAGGACAGCTCTGATGTCCCAGTCAGTGAGTGACTTACACACTCCTGGAATATAGCTCTCATAGACCTAGGGGCCTGGGGTGGTGGGTCTGGCTGGGAAGTGGTGAAGCCCCACCCACCTACTTCCACCCTCTCCTATCCCCTACCCCTCACCCCCGTGACAGAGCTGGAGAGGAGTTAAGTAACTGTTGTGATATCAAAAGTACTTGCCACGACCAGGCTAAATCTGCCTCTTGGAACCTCTTAAGCCTGCATGAGATTGGAAGAGCATTCTGTACCAGGGGGCTCTTGTCTGAACACTACTGACCCACAGCGGTAGGCTGGGCTTAGAGTGCCCTCTGCTGGTTATTGCAAGACGTTCAGTTACTTTGTATAGAGAAGACTGCCACCTCGTGGTCTGGGGACCCACTTCTGGGTCCTTATTGAGGAAGCAGTCATGTAGTCATTCCCTGCCGACCTTGGTGTCCCAGCACCCTCCCTTATCCCTACCACAGACCTAGCAATCTGTATACCCCAGTCTCTAGAACCTGCCCTCCAGCTCCACACTGACATTTCTTCCGATGTATGCACTGCTGGGCTAGGGAGATGGCTCACCTGTTAAAAGGCTAGGCTCACAACCCAAAAGACAAATGTATATACACTGTTTCTTGAATCTTATGGCTACCATCACCCAGAAAGCCTTCTGCCCTGTGGAGGTGTGTCTGAGAGTCATGGTCTTAGCATGTTGATAGCCTTCCTGTCCTTCCGTGTATGAACACCAGCCTGTATAAAATAACTGACTGTCCTGTGCCAGCAATCAGCTGGCCGTCATGAGCTGAGCTGCCTGTGATGGAGACGTCCCCCTCCATGCCAGCAGATGTCAGGGAGCCTGTCCAGGATGCACACATCAGAATCTACTTTCTATCCCTACAGAGCATGGGAAGTAGAGTTTATGGAGGTGGAGGCTACAGGCACAGGGGAACCAGGTACACTGTGCATCCTCCAGTCCACTGTGATGAAGGCAGGGAGCATCCCTGCTCCTGGGGGTGGAGAGGCAACCACACCTCAGGCTGGGGGAGAAGAGTGGGTTTTCATGATGCACTTTGTTGTGTACATCTGACCTACAGATCCTTCCCAGACAGTGTGAAGAGCAATCACCCCTCCAAAAAGCCTCCCTAAAGTCTGGTGCACCTCCCAGGCCAATGAGTACTCCCCCCAGGCCAATGAATGCTCCCCCAGGCCAATGAGTGCTCCCTTGGGCCAACGAATACTCCCTCCAGGCCAACGAGTACTCCCCCTCAGGCCAATGAGTACTCCCTCAGGCCAATGAGTGCTTCCCCCAGGCCAAGAGTACTCCCCCCAGGCCAATGAGTGCTCCCCCCAGGCCAATGAGTATACATAACACAGTGCTACCTTGGGATGGCCTTTCCGGGGCCATTTTCTTATCTCAAAGTGGACATGGGGGTGACTCACAGTAGGAGTCCTCTGTGTGGCACATCACCTGACCCACATGAGGTGTCTGGCATTGTTTGAATAAATTAATGACTTGCCTTACTGTGCCTGCTTAGCAACTTCTGGAGTTGGACAAGTGAGGTGGACTATCCCTTGGCTTTCAGATGGACTGTTGAGGTACAGAAGGGGCCTGTGGGAGACTCTCTTCATATCCTTTTCTTTGTTCTAGGCCCTGCCCACCCATGTCACACATCCTGTGCTGTCCACCTCTTCTCTCTGTTGGACTTGTTCTTAGTCATTAGTGTCTGGGGAAGGACCAGAGGTGGAGTCCAGACGTAGGTCCATGGCTTCCCGAAGCCTTCAGCCTTAGACCCAGCCCGTATCCTAGCACTGCTCTTCTCAAAGAATTCCTGGGCCCGTCTTCTCCCTACTGATAGGCTACCCGGTCAGTCCCTGGAGTACTGTGCCTGTGCCTGAGAAGAGCCACTCAGCAGGGCATCCCTTCTGTGTGGCTGACCTCAGGCCAGCACCTCAGAGAGGCACTGGTCACCCCAAACTGATGTCCACCTCTGCCCCAATCTCTGGTGTTCTTCTATGGGCCAAGCGTCTAGGTGGGACTCAGAATAATTGGCTGAACCAAAGAGATGCCATGGCAGCCCCACCTGTTAGCAGGCGAGGAAGATGAATAGAACATGTTGGAAGCCAATGTGGAAAGAGTAAAACTCCCCAAAGGAAAGAGGTTTCTAGATAGTCTCCTCCTGCTGCTGAGCCCAGAGGCCCCGGTGCCCCAGCTCCCCGCCACACCCATCACCCTGACTTGCGGCCTGTCCACACTGTGCCCACAGCACCGGCAGCTGCTGAAGGACAGCTTCATGGTGGAGCTGGTAGAGGGGGCCCGCAAGCTGCGCCACATCTTCCTATTCACCGACCTGCTCCTTTGCACCAAGCTGAAGAAGCAAAGTGGAGGGTGAGTGATGTTGGCCGTGCCCTGGCCACAGTGCTTTGGGAGGGGACATCTTCCTATTCACCAACCTGCTCCTTTGCACCAAGCTGAAGAAGCAAAGCGGGGTGTGTGTGTGTGTGTGTGTGTGTGTGTGACCTTGGCTGTGTCCTCGCCACAGTGCTTTGGGAGGGTGGGTTTCTGACATCTTCCTATTCACCGACCTGCTCCTTTGCACCAAACTGAAGAAGCAAAGCGGGGGGGGGGGGGGGGGGGGGGGGGGGGTGTGTGAGCGACGTTGGCTGTGCCCTGGCCACAGTGCTTTGGGAGGGTGGGTTTCCAACAGACACGGATAACAATGTAGCCAGACACACACACTCCACCCCACTCCTTACATTGTTTCCATCTGGATATGAATCAAGCACAAAGTTAGGGTTGTCACTAACCATCTGGAGGTGTCACAGGGCAGGACAGTGACATGTCTTTGCCTTCTGTAATGGGGGGGGCAGACAAGGTTATGACTCCTATTGTTGGGGGAAGGTCTCATCATAAACCATCCAAGAGTGAGTGTCCAGGGCTGCATTTGTGGGCCAAGAACCCTGCTCTGTCAGCAGCCAGTCACTAGGTGGTAGCTGTACTTCTGTCTTGCCAAGCTGTGATGCCTTCTAAGTTTTTTTTTTTTTTTTTTTTTTTTTGGTTTTTTTTTTTTTTTTGGTTTTTCGAGACAATGTTTCTTTGTGTAGCTTTGCGCCTTTCCTGGATCTTGCTCTGTAGCCCAGGCTGGCCTTGAACTCACAAAGATCCGCCTGCCTCTGCCTCCCGAGTGCTGGGATTAAAGGCGTGCGCCACCACCACCCGGCCCAATGCCTTCTAAGTTTTACACACATCACCACCACCAGTGAATTACCCAAAATACACACACACATATCACCACCACCACCAGTGAATTGCCCAAAACACACACACTTATGTACACACACATACCATACTACCACCACCACCAGTGAATTGCCCAAAATACACACACACACACCCCACCACCACCACCAGTGAATTGCCCAAAATATATACATACACACACACACACACCACCACCACCACCAATGAATTGCCCAAAATACACACACACACACACACACACACCACTACCACCACCACCACCACCACCACCAGAGATTTGACCAGGATACACCAGATTGGAATGGAGTCAAGAGGTCATGTTAGAACAGACATAAACACAGTGGGGTCTCCTTACACATTTCCACTGACTTTGTACAAATGAACTTAATGACTCCACTCAGAAGGAAGTCCTCTACTCCCTGTCTGTCAAGTGAAGGGGTTATAACAGGTAGATCGCAGCCTCTCAGACTCTATGCTCTGAACTTCAGTCCTGTCCTGTCCATAACTGGGGCTGGCGGTGTCTCCTGTCAACCTCAACCTAGCCTGTTATATGAAGCACAGAGTTTGAAGTAAGGTGAACAGCCCAGCTGCAGACCTGTGGCTCTCTGATTCCCAGAAGCAAAGGAAAGTAGCTGGTCTGCTAATGTTCTCTTCCCTCTCCAGCAAAACCCAGCAATATGACTGTAAATGGTACATTCCGCTCACGGACCTCAGCTTCCAGATGGTGGATGAATTGGAGGCAGTACCCAACATCCCTCTGGTGCCAGATGAGGAACTGGATGCCTTGAAGATCAAAATCTCCCAAATCAAGAGTGACATCCAACGAGAGAAGGTACGACCGATTGGGAGAGCTCAGGCCAGGTTCTGTGTAGCCTGAGTACACAGCAGGCCCTCATGTGCAGGCCAAACAGGTGCCTCCTCGGTCTTGGCCAGGCATCTGTCCCCGGGATCTGCTGGGACCCGTGAGAGTTCCCAGCTCCTAGAGTGCTGGGCATCTGGTCGTAGCTAGACTCGGGTTGTCTTGAGAACCTCATACCAAAGTCACTAGCAACCCAGCCCCAATGGGAAATGAGGCACACTGGCAATGGTATTCTCAGAGTGCCTATTATAGGATACTTAACCCCGTCTGTAAAACTGCTTGACGTCCACTTACCTGACTTGTGATCAGTGACCCTCGTACAGAAGGTTCGTGTGCACTCGCGGGTCCCCTGTGACTCCTTTCTGACCCATGTCCAGTTGAAGCCTGCATGGCCATCCCTGGAATGTTAAGAGCCCAGCCTTGTACCTACCTTTTCCCGTCTTCTCATTCTCCCCCCTACCCCATCCTTGCCTGGCATCCCAGGAAAACCTGGCCTCGGGTAGCCTCTGATTCCGCTCATTGAAGGTGTAAATGTAATGTCCTACCACGTAGAAAACAAGCCGGGAGATTGTTACTCTCAGATCCTGGGCAGGAAAGGCACACAAGAGTGGGAGGACCACTTTCCCACCAAGGAGAAATGAAAAGTGAGGCAGAGAAGGAGTGTATACCTGGGACAGCTAAGCTCATTGTTTTGCTTGTTAAGAGACAAGGTCTTGGTGGGTTGTCCAGGCTGGTGTCCTGGGCCTAAGCAATCCTCCCACCCTAGCCTTTTCCATATTTAGAACAGCAGCTACCTGGTGCCCAGGCAGCATCCACGTAGTACTGAGGCAGGAAGACATGCTTAACGGGAGGGGTGTGTCCCATTTAGGCTGTAGAGGACTCAGGGCAGTCTAGGATGTGGGGATGGAGAGGTTGACCCCTCTAGCTGCCTTGGATTGCAGTTCCCTGAATTTTTTTCTGGAGAACTTTTAGAAGGTGTAAAGAGTGGGTGTGGATCCCTTGAGTCTAGGGTTAATCCAGACCAGAGTTTGGGGAGGGACTGGTATTAGCCACAAACAAGTTATATCATCAGAAATCGGGCCTCAGCTCAAGAACACTCCCTGTATCCCTGGTGAAGTGGATGCAGCAGGACAGGGGGTCCTCTTCAGCCAGTATGCCCTTTCCTAGATCTCCACACTGTAAATCTTGCACATTTAGGAGCGTACAGGGAAGCCCTGTAGCTTCAGACCGGGGAAATCCAAGACCGCAGTGGATGTTAATGGTTTATTTATGACCTCTGTAGGACTGTCCCTAAGCAGAGGAGGCACTGCATCCTCAGGACTCCTGGGCCCTGCTGCCTACTGATAGTTGTTTCCATCCCACACCATGCTCTTCATCTGGGAATTGGGGTCGGGGAACCAGCTTATGAGAGGCCACAGTCTTCTTTCCAGGGTATAGTGGCTTCAGGAAGGTTCCACGCAGCTCAGGACAGGCAGGGGTTTTCTGATCAGATCATGGTGACATTCATCTTAATGTACTAGGACCCTCTCCTCCCCGACCCCCAACATTCTAGGGGCCTGGTGTTAAATGTGACCAAGGCAGGAAGCAGGTAAAAGGTCCCCTAGGTGCCAGTAACTCCTGAACATTGTTGTCCAGGTTTTGAAAAGTGGAAGGCCTCTCCTCTGCTCTTATGAGAAGGGCTCATTCCTTCAGGAAGGGCTTAGGGAGTATGACCCCAGTTAGCGCTGAGGCTGGACCCCAAGGAAAGGCTGTTGACATCCCCTAAAGGCCACCAGCAACAGCTGACGAAGGCCCTGGACTGCGCTGAGTAGACAGATGGGATTCTGTGCTCCGTGAGCCCGGGGGTAAGGGTGGAAAGCGATGGACCACAGCTGATGGGGGAGCAGGGTGGCATTGGTTCCAGATGAAAAGGCAAGACTGTCCTCTCTCCGCAGAGAGCAAACAAGGGCAGCAAGGTCATGGAGAGGCTGAGAAAGAAGCTGTCAGAGCAAGAGTCGCTGCTGCTGTTAATGTCCCCCCAGCATGGCCTTCAGGGGTACACAGTCGCAATGGCAAGGTGAGTGCCAGCCGCGGTCCAGACTCGCCCAGCTGCCTGCTGTCTCCAGCTCATGGATGTCTGTGCCACGAACGGCTATTCTAGGCTCTGGGGAGCCTCCCCATTCCAGGAGAGATCAGTGCAGCGTGTCGCCTGTGGGCCCACATCCCTCTGATGGTGCTTTGGGCCGGAGTCCCCAGCTGAGTAGCAGCTGCTTCAGCTCCTGCAGCTGGGGAGTGGCCAGGACTCCAGGGAGGGGAGTAGGGGAGACAACATGCACGGTTTTTTTTTGCAGCTGTGACCTTAGGTACAGGAACCTGGGGACCTCTCCAGGGTCATTGACGTTCTCTTGTGGTTCGATTGCTGGTGCCATCTATAGCCTAGGCCTCTCCCTCCACTAGCCCCGTATGTACTGTGCATGCATAGCATGACTAATTCTGTAGCACGTGGCAAGGAGAGCAGTTGACAGACTTTGTAGGGCCTTGTCCCCATCTTATCCTCTTACGGATTGGATACAGAGGTGAGAGTTCCATCAGCCTTCACCTTAAAGATCGACCTCCATAACTCCTCCATGTCCCTTAAGCCACACCCCCTCGGCCAGAGTCATTCCCTAACCCAGGCATTTCAGGTAAGACTTATGCTGGACACAGGCCCATCCTGTGCTTGGGTACGATGGCCCACAGTCAGTGCAGTAGAGTGTGAAAAATGTAGTCAGTTTGGCTGTGTGCTGCCGGAGAACGGTGTGTGTCTCAGACTCCGCCCTCTGGGTTCTCCCAATGTTGATTCAGCCGGAGTAGAGATAATTGGGGTCTGCTCTTCTCCTCACTCACCATAGAGTTACACATTCCTGATCTCCTCCGACTATGAGCGAGCTGAGTGGAGAGAAAGCATCCGGGAGCAGCAGAAGAAATGTGAGTGGTCCCCTGTACCCGGAGAACTTGGCCATCAGCCATCAGGGCTGGATGGATGGATACTCTGTGGACAGTTCTTAATGTTCCAACTCCTCTCCTTTCCCTTGTTTCTCTGCTTGGCTCTTCCTTTCAGAGGGGCTTTTAGACCCAGGGGGAAATGTTGCATGGAGCCCTGACTAATTCAGCACGCCCATTAGAGGAACTCCCTAGCCTCACTGTGCTCCCCCACCCTCCGTGCCCTTTGATCTTCCCTGAGATTCCTTCCTCCAGACCATCCCAACTCCTCATCTTGGCTAGCTTTGCTATGTCTGCTCACACACCTTCCACCCTTCTCATCTGTCCCGGCCAGGCCTTTTATGGCATCATCCTTGGGCTTCCCCTGATCACCAGTTACCATCAACCACTCAACTGTACCTTCACTGCCCTTCCTAACTTAATAAAATTGAAAAGGCCAACTGGTCAACCTCCATCTTAATAAAAAAAACAGAAACAAAAACAACCCACACAGCCAACTGGTCGACCTGAATATTATGAAAAAAACAAAACAAAAAAAACCACACAAGTGTATATATATATATATCAGCTCCCCTGGGACTCCATTGCCCTCCCTCTGCAGGTAGTGATGAAGAAGGAGCCTTTGGCTGGACACACCTAAGGAACCATACTGTGTTGGTCCACTGTCCTCCTCCTACCTCACCTCAGGACAAGACACTTAATCCTCACTGTAATGACTCCTTCCTTCCTTCTCTAGGCTCTTCTCTCTGTTAGTGTTTTTTTGTTGTTGTTGTTGTTTTCCCTCTTTCTCTGGAATTGCACGCTACGCTCCGGGCCCTAGGACATTGTTGGGAGTAGAATGGTAGACCTTACCCCGAGTCTTTGGGCTGCGACTGCCCAGCAACCCAGCTCCCCATTATCCACGAACTGTGTCCTCAGAGGCCTGCTTGCTCCGTGATGAGAGATCAACAGCTCCTGCTGAAGCAGGAGTTTGGGTTCGGTTTCTGCAGATGCAGCTGGGGGCTCTGCCTGCCTCTGACCCATCCTGAGCTCCCGTCTCGAAGGCTAAGACCGTCTCTTCCTTTCAGTGCTTCTGTGGCCGGGGAGAGACCAAGGAAGGGCTTGTGTCCCAGGGATCCCTAGCCTAACATGGAGATCCAAAACCATTTCCAGTACGGCAGCATCTGTCTCTGCTCCAAGTTGTGCCCAGAAATAAACCCCTTTGCTTCACCTGACTGAGAGACATGACCCACCTTAGCAGAGTCAAGGACAGAGCTATACCGGTGTCTGTCTGGGGAGACCTACCGGGGAGATGCTTCCAGGCCATCCTGTTGTATTCAAACCTGCCCTGTGGGCACTGTGCTTGGGTGGCAGGTCAGCATGTGTGAACATGAGTTTGTAAGCAATATTGCTGATCCTCTCAGGAGCCCTTGGTCCTGGGCTCTCCCGGGCTTCACATTGCTCTGCTGCTGTACCTGCGTTTCACCTGGGAGCCATCGAGCCTCATCTCCCTGCCCCCTGTGTGTTGTGACTGACCTATCCCCGTCCCTCCTCTGCCCCTTCAGGTTTCAAGAGTTTCTCTCTGACGTCGGTGGAGCTGCAAATGCTGACCAACTCATGTGTAAAACTTCAGACTGTTCACCACATTCCACTGACCATCAACAAAGAGGGTAAGGCTGGGCTCCTGGGCATCGGGCTGACCTGGTAGGAGCAGCCACTGCTGGGCAGCTGAAGAGACTGGCCAGAGGCTTTGTCCCCAGTCATCAGGTTTGTGACAGCCGGTCAGACCGTCAGTACGGTAGATGTGAACCCTGAGTGCTGCTGAAACCATGCCAAGTTTTGTGTTCAGCGCTGTCCATGTGCATATGGACTCACTTAACACACGTGGGCAGGTTGTTTGGCACACTTTAAGCATACCTGCGCCACGCATACCTTTGTCACCCCAGCCTCCTCTCTTTTCTTTGGAACTTTGTTTTGGTCATTGGTTTGCCTATGTTTTTTGTTTTTTTTGGTTTTTTTTTTGTTTTTCGAGACAGGGTTTCTCTGTATAGCTTTGGTGCCTTTCCTGGAACTCACTCTGTAGCCCAGACTGGCCTCGAACTCACAGAGATCCACCTGCCTCTGCCCCCCCCCCCCCCAGAGTGCTGAGATTAAAGGCGTGAGCCACCACCGCCCAGCTTGCCTATGTTTTGAACCCACCTAGATCCTAAGACTCAAAATGCAGAATCCATAGTGGGCACATACTGTCTGTGCTACTCTCCCGTGCTGGATCAACCAGTCACTTTACCCTGGTGAGGCGTAAAGTTTACCTCTGGGGTCTCTCTTGCAGATGATGAGTCTCCTGGGCTCTACGGCTTCCTGAATGTCATCGTCCACTCGGCCACCGGGTTTAAACAGAGTTCAAGTAAGTAGCTTAGAGAGGGAGGTGGTGGACCCTATAAGTAAACTTTAACTAAGAAGGACCATCAGGCGAGAGGCGTGGGCAACCTAGGAACACTGTTCAGATGTCCACCAGAGGTGCAGTTTTTTGAGGGACCTTTGAGGGACCCTGCTGGTTGAAACCTGCTGGAATAGGAATGTTTTCTCAGCTTTTCCCCATATCTGTCTCAGGGAATGCATACAAATGAGCTGCCACCTGCTGGCAGGTCTTTTAATGATTAGATCAGGAATTTGAGCCCAAGGCCTGATGGCAGCAAAATTCCAGAGAGCCCAAGCTCCAATTCAGGAAACCATAGGCATGGATCCCTCAACCCCCTCTGCAGAGGAGATTTAGTTCTTCCGCTGAACTGGATAGAGAATACCCTTCTATGGTGGACCAGCCGCAACTTTTGTGACCCAGGGTACTCTTGAGTAGGGAGAAGTGAGAAATATTAGCTAGAAAAAGATACCTAGATGACGAGAGGAAAGACAGAAACACAGGATCGCCTCGGGAGAGCCTGGGTCTCAACCCACCAGCCCTGAACTTTATTCCAAAGGGCTTTTTATGGCAATGCCAAGGAGAGGAGCAAAGGACCTCCCCCTTCTCAATACAGCCAAGTGTAGACCCTTCCAAACACCTGCACTCAGCCTGTGGTCCAATCATCCTCTTATGCAGACCTGCTGAGCAAAGCCACCAGGAAACCCAGATGGGCTACAATGCCCTTCCTCTCCCAGCTAGCTGCTCTAGGTGCCTAAGGGTGACTGCACTACAACTCTATGGATCTCCTTGCCTAGCTCCTCCCCCAAACTCTTAGGCCTATGGTTCAAGAGTGAAGGGCAATAGCCATGCCACAGCCTGGATGTCCTCTTCCCTTGAAATGTCTTCCATGAAATGAATTAGTCCATTATTTTTTTAAATTCAGCCTCATTCAAGTTCTCAGGACATGGGCAAAATACTGCCCAAACATTTGGCAGACTATAACCTGAATGACCTCTTTCCTAGTTCTCTCTGAAACCTGATGAGGTGGGCCTCTGCCGTCCAAAGTCTCTGGGTCTTCTGGTCCTCCAAACTCACGCCAGAATAATGTGTGTTAAATTAAACTCTGCTCATGGCATTCAAAGGCATTTCTAGCCCAGAGTTCCAGGTCGCTTTCGCATTCCTCCAACAAACCCATTCCAGAGTCCTGGAGCCACAGTCAGACTTATCACAGCAACACTCCCGCTCGTGGTACCAGGCCCCTGTATTAGTGTCTCTCCAAATATCTCAACAGAGGCAGCTTAAGGAGAGAAGAACTTACTCTGGCTCACGGTTCCAGGGTACCATCCATTATGGCAGGGAAGTCACGGAGACAGGAGGCAGCTGGTCACATGGCATCCGGTTAGGAAGCAGAGAGAGACGAAGGCTTAAGCTAGCTTGCTTTCTCTTCTTAGCATGTGGAATGGTACCACCCACATTTAGGGTGGGTCTTTACATCTTAATTAACCTAGTGTAGATAAGTCTCACAGCAATCTGTTTGCCACGGATTCTAAATTCAGTGGAGTCGATAAGATGAACCATAAGGATGGTCCATGAGCATCTTCCTCCCTTGCCAGACCTACCCCTAGGGTTCATTCAGTAACAAGCCACTGATGCCAGGGCTGCCTTTCCAACTCTTGACTCCTGACTGTAGATGTAACAGTCTTATTAAATAAGAAACACAGAGCCAAATGCAGAGTTAAAAGCCCAAGAGGTCAGAGCAGTAGCTGAGAGCTGATACTAAAAACCCTTTCATACCCTTCACTGCCGCTGCTGTCCTTTCCCTCAGAAAGAGACCTACTTCCTGTGTGTCTTTCTTTTTATTGACTTTCTGTTCTGCCTTCTCATTGGTTGTAAACCCAACCACATGACCTCCTCATCACTGCCTGTCTATACAGACCTCCAGGTCTTGTATGGTTGGTATTGAGATTAAAGGCGTGTGTCTCCATGCTGGCTGTATCCTTGAACACACAGAGATCTGCCTGTCATGTGATCGGGATTAAAGGCGTGCGCCACCACCGCCCCGGCTTCTGCTATGGCTTGATATTAGCTTTGACCCCTAGGCAACTTTATTTATTAACATACAAATAAAATCACATTTCAGTACAAATAAAATATCACCATACCTGACCTCCCATGTTATTTTTCCATCTGATGTCTTAACTCTCTAAACTTTACATTTCCAAGCCAAACCTGTGGCTTGCAGCCTCTGGTCCACTTGGTGACTGCTTGCCATCAGCCAGATGCCATTCTCCACCAGTGTCCCAGTCTGTATTCATCTGAACTCTGGACACTGCCATTGATAGCTGTCCTGCTCCACCATACTGTCCCCCTTACCCTGTCAGTCAAATGTCATTATCCATTGTGGCACTTGGATGTCATCTCAGTCTATATGCATGTAGGTCTTTGGCATGACCTCCCCGATCCCCACCACCAGACCTCCCTTACTCCTCATCCAGGGCTTTCCTAAGATGCAGAACCCCCACCTGTCATTTCCCACTTACACTTGACCATGTCACACACAGCTGAACAAGTGCCTCCATCTCTTCCTGTGCCCTGCCCTGGTGTGGGACTTCCTGCGCCCTAGCTCTGTGCTGGTGAAATTCCTATCAGGGTCTGCTCAGATCTTAGGAGCTTCCCCTAGGCTCCGGTTTCCACCTTCTCTCACTCCCAGGATAGGAGACATCCGCTGTGCTGCGGCCTCTCCATGCAGCACAGCACCAGCCCACTCTGGCTTCCAAGGCCATATTCGCCTCCCCCCCCCCACACCCATTGTAGGTTCCCTGTCACTGAAGGGGCTTTAGCGGATGCTGAGTGCTGTGAGACGTCCCGTTTCCCAACTCCTCTGGCAGGACCAGGGGTGTTGCCTGAGGGCTGGTGTTTGTGCCAGCCACTGTTTGGGTTATTTTAAGAAGAAAAAGTGTTCTCTTCCTGATTTTGTGAATAACGCTTGCTCCTAAGAAAAGCTGGTCATATAGAAAAGTGGTCACCCTTACCTTGTCACTTCCTCCCAGATCTGTACTGCACCCTGGAGGTGGATTCCTTTGGGTATTTTGTGAATAAAGCAAAGACTCGAGTCTACAGGGACACGACAGAGCCAAACTGGAATGAGGTGAGGAGCCTGCCTCCACCAGGATGTTTTCCACAGATCTTAATCTCCAGGGGCTCCCGAAGGGCTTCCCCGAAAGCCACACTGCTGCCAGCATTCCTGGAATCTCCCAGAGGTTGGTGGGGTGGGGGTGGGGAGGCGTGTGATACAGCCAAGAGATTTTATCTCTGTGTTCCTCAGAGTCTTACCCACCCACTCCCAGCAGAGAAATAACCCGTTTTTTCCAGAGAACTGTTTGGAAAGAATACTTTAAAAGGCTTTTTGAATCCCACGATAGCCTATTGTATAGTTGTTAGGTTTCCATTTTCCGGTTTTCCTCTGAACCTCGAATGAGCTCCTGTGGCTATTCCGGTTTCCAGAGTTCTTAGGCCCTGCCTGTCAGGGTTGTGGGCCGGGCTCCCCCGACCTCCCTGGTCTGTCTCCAAGGATCCTGTATGTTTGCATTGAGGTACTAGGTTTGCGCAGTCTGTTGTCTGTAGTCCCCAGCCTTGGACCTTAGGAGTGGCATGATTGCACAGAGGCCAGTGTGCATGAAGTCCTCAGACCTCTAAGTTGTCACTTCTGGTCTCTGCCGTTGCCGTCACCCTAAAGAACCTTGATTTAGTTGGTACAGAACAGCGAAGATATAAAGCTGCCTCCTACCCCTTGCCCACCGAGGAGTGAACCGTGAAACACCAGGCACCTTGGTCTAGTCTGCCTTGGTCACATGGCCGAATAGGAGGACCATGGGACCAGATCCCAGGTCTTGCAACATAGCATCCCCTCATTGTCATTATAAATATTGTTTAAATAGGACAAGAACACAAGGGAACCAGTACTTAACCTCTCTGGTCATCTCAGCTATGATAGTGGCAGGATAAAGCCATATGAGGCTTGCTCAGTACATTCTTGCAGTCCCAGTACATGGGAGGTAGAGGCAGGAGAATTACCTAGCCTTCAAGGCTAGCCTGGGCTACATAGTTGAATACCAAGCCAGCTCCATCTTAAAAAAAAAAAAAGCTACAGGAGACCCATTGTAGAAGGCCTCCAGAAAACAAGGGGACTGGGGGATTGTGACCCCCTCAGAGGCCTCAAAGATGGATTCTAGGTAGGTTGCAAAAGGTCCAGGTAGGTGTCATCAGCCAAAGCTCTAGGGGGTCATGATGGGAGGTCTGGGTCACCTGGTGTGTACATGCAGATCATCCAGGGAAGTCACATACTCCTGACACATCTTCCCAGAAATAGCTACTCTGCCCAATAAGAGCCATGCATACATAAGCATCAACAGAAAATGCAGGATTCACTGGAGACTCAGAAGGCTGATAGAGGAGCAAGTTTAACTCCACAATAAGTGGCAGACAAAGCTCACAGGACCATTCCAGAACCTTCTGTCTGGCCCTTCCATGAATTACATTTTTTAAAAGAGAATTTACTGAAGCCAGAGCTTGCGTTTGCTGAACACTGAATTGTACCCCTAGCCTCAATTTCATCCTTCAGGCTTAGGTTCACAGCAGAATTAAGAGAAAGGGCAGAAATTCCCATATACTCCCCACTATTAAAATCTTATATAATTCACCTACATCAGCAGAGCATTGCCCAAAGGCTACAGTTGATGTTAGATGTACATGCTGTGGATTTTCACAAATAAATGACGACATGTGTCTTCCATTATAGTACTACCCAGAATGGCTTCACTGCCCTAAAAATGAACTCACCTCAATACCACCCAAAGTTATCAAATATCTGTCTCTAACAATCAACCTAAGATTCTGGCACCTCTAACAATCACCCCGAGATTCTGATATTGTTGGTATCAAGACCATGCTTTGGAGATAGATGCTGATGTACCAAGTTTGAATTAGGTTGGAGAGGGTTTAAAAGCTTCCAGAAGCATCCAGTCAAAGAACCACAGTGTGGTGACAGCGATGCCCACAGGGATGCTCACACAGGCCCCAGGACCACGTGAGGAGAGTTGTGTGAGGCCTGGGTCCTTCTGGGGCAGCAGGGGTACCATTTGTTGTTGAGCCGTGGTTCAGACACGGTGATGAACTGCCACATCCTTGGTTGGACCTGTTTGTTCGTGGGTAACGTTCTTTCTTTTGGGGAACCACAGGAGTTTGAGATAGAGCTGGAAGGCTCCCAGACCCTGCGGATACTCTGCTATGAAAAGTGTTACAACAAGATGAAGATCCCCAAGGAGGATGGCGAGAGTGCAGACAAGCTCATGGGGAAAGGTCAGCTCCAGGTGAGCCTGCCCCACCCCCACCCCCACCCCCACCCCCCACCCCCTGGGTGCTCCGGGGCCTTTCCCATGGGAGGCTGCTAAAACAGCCTAACTCCTGGGATGGAGTGGAGAGCCAGCCCAGTCACGGGTCCTTCCTTCTCTCTCTCTGTCTGTCCTATGTATCATACTGTCTCGTTCCCCAAAGATTTTCTGTCAGACTTCTTCTTCAGCTGAAGCCATAGTTTCTCCCGTGGTTCTAGCAGCCACAAGCAGATGGTTAGGCGGTGCCCTGGGCTAAAGTTGGTTAAGAAGCCATCTCTCTTTGGAAAAGTAGGAGTCCCAGAGCCTACTCCTTGTCTGTCCGGTGTATAGGCCCAGTTTCCAGCCGCTTTCCTGAACAGGGTACACACAAGTACACCCCAGAGTTAGCATAGGAACCCCCAGGAAGGCCAAGAGACTATGTCCATACGGGACCAGCGCAGGGTCCCCAGGCCTCAGGAGGGGCCACTTGGACCCTCTGTCCTTCGGAACTAGCTTTATACAGCCCCAGAAACCTCACCCGTGTTCCGCTGCTTCCTGGCAGACAGGAGCTGACACCACCTGCTGGGAGTGTCTCATGGCTTTGCCTAACATGTGCCTATTATGATCACACTCTGGTGTTCAGAGGCCAGTCTGGGGCTACAGAGAGCAATCCTATTTCAAAAATAAAAAAGTTGTAGTCTCTACTTTTCTTACAAGTGTGACTTCTTTCTGTGGGGTATTTATTTGTTTATTTCATGTGTGGGCACGGCATCCCACAGTAGGGCATGTAGAGGTCATGGGGCGTCTCCTTCCACCTTGAAGCAGGGTCTCTTGTCTCTGCTGCTTTGCTGAGTATTCCAGATGAGCTGGCCCGTGAGCTCCCAGGCAATCCTCCTGCCTCCTCTCTCACCCTCCTGCTGGTGCGTCTTACTCCATGCAGTGCAGCCCAGCCACTCTGTCTGACTTCTTCCTCCCACGGAAGTGGGTCAGGTCTTGAGTATGGCACCCCACTGCCTAGACTTTCTACCTCGGTGTGAGGCCCCTCACAGGAGAAAAGAGACACCTGTGAGAGCTCTGTACACACCCACAAGCGCCAGGTTCCTTCCCTGGGGGCGAGAAGTAAAATCCACCTTGTGGTAAGAACAGTGTCAGGAGTGGTGAAGTCACTTCTGTGAGAGGCGGGGACCCATCCTCTTCACTCAGATCAGCAGGTCACTGTCCCCTGCCTCTCTGTCCCCTGCCTAGCTAGAGTCTTAAGAGATGCAGGCTGCTGCCTGGCTTTAACTGTGGAAGTGTGTTGGGGGACTCGGGTGCTTGGGGCCTCAAGGAATTACCATACACCGAGAGCAGACTGGAGGACAGAAATGTTCCTCTAAGTGTCCTGTCCATGCTCAGCCAGGCAGCTGCCACTAATCCAGCCAGCCACAGAGTGACCACGCTGCCCCTGGACACCATGGTAGTTCTCTGGTTTTCCTCTGTTCCAGTATGGGTCTTTTTTTTTTTTTTTTAAGATTTATTTATTTTTATCTTATGTGTATAAATGCATGTTTTGCCTGCATGTGTGTGTATGCACTACATGTGTGTCTGGTGCCCGAAGAGGCCAGGAAAGGGTAGCAGGTCTCCCGGAACTGGAGTTACAGGTGGCTGTAAGCTGCCATGTGGGTGAGGATGCAACTGAACCTGGGTCCTCTGCAAAAGCAGTAAGTGGTTCCAACCACTGAGCAACCTCTCCAGCTCCAGTATGGATATCCTCTGTCTGTCTGTTACTATCATACTGTCATGTTCCCCAAAGATTTCCTGTCAGACTTGTTCTTGCAGCTGAAGCCGTCACTTCTTAAAGAAGTCAAGTGTTTGCACACGTACCAAGTGACAGTTACAGATCGAATGAATGTCTGTCATGGCGCCGGCCCTGTGTTGTGTGCCGTACCATTCCATTTTTCTGTAGTACAGCGTGCTTGAGGCAGGTTACTCAGGGAGCAAAAGGGCTTCATTTTGCTCCGTTTTGGAGACTGAGAAGACCATCGTATTGATAGTGACGTAGAAAGAGGAGGTTGCATCTTGAAACGGGAACCCCAGGGGGGGTAGTCTGGGTATCAGGCTTGATCTTGAAACACCTTGTCCTCACTAGCTCCCTAGAATCCAGGTGTCCCATCAGAGCTTCTTCTCGCAAAGACACCTCCTTTGGTGGCTTGAGGACCTTGCACTAGGCTCCACTTCTGAAAGCACCCACTCTCCAGGCTGTCACACGGAGGGCAGAGTCCCTCCAGAGTGTAGCACGTGCTTTCTCCCGTGGTACTTACAGCAGGTCTTTTTTTTTTTTTTTTTTTATTAAAGAGAAGGGAGTGACCCCAGGACCTTGCATGTGCTAAGCAAGTAATCTACCACTGTTCTACAGCCCCGTCCCTTCCTTATTTTGGTTGGAGACAGAGTCTTCCTGATTTGCCTAGGCAGGCCTTAAGAGCTCACCTACAGGCCGACTGCCTCAGCCTCCGTAGTAGATGGGGGGATCAGGTGTGTGCTTCACCCAACTGCAGTAAGACTTGAAGGGTGCTCATTTGACGTTCAAGGAGACACTTTCCCAACTGTGTCAGGTCCTCTGGTGAGCAGTACTGTCTGGGACTTGTTAGGACCAACAGCCATTGCTCCGCTCCCCTTCTCCCTCTTGGTATCTGCTCACAAGCCAGGCATCCTTCACACACACCCCAGACCCTGGGACCCTCTTGGAGCCTGTATTACCCAGCTTCACTCAGGGGTGATCCCAAGGATGCCAACAGACTGGGTGCCTGGCTCCTTCGTGGTTTTGTCAAGTACAGCAAAGAGAAATTCGGGGCCCACTAGTCGTCCTGAGTGACTTGAAGTTTCACCTCTGGAATCTTGAGAACGGCGGGCTTGGAAGCAAGGCCTCTGAGTACTACCACCAGAAAACTAGGGGTCTCAGTGGAAAGCGGACAGAGCTATTCTGTCAAACCAAGCTTCTCTGGAAACGCCTTGCTGTGGCGCTGCCATATGAACAAAATGTTTCTTGATGTTTTTGCTTTTCTGTCAGGGAGTCTTGAGTGCCCTGTAACCAGCCTAGTGAAGAGAAGAGAGAAAGTTCCAGAGCCAGAGAGCAGTGAAGGCAACAAAGACAGATATATTCCGGAGGCTTCCGAGACGGAAGAGACACCTTTCTATAGAACAGGGCTTGACTCCAGATACGGCACAGACAAGTGGGGATTTACAGCCAAGTGAGGGGCAGTGGGTGGAAGATTACTAATAGGAAATGCTGTGAGTAAGGATTCTGGCTAGACCAGCCTAATGGGATTTTTGCTCCAGGAAGGTCGGGTAAGCAGATAATACCTGGAGGAAGGTAGGAGATAAAGAACCCAACCAAATATCAAAGGTGGTGGTGTACACCTGTAATCCCAGCACTTTGGAGGTAGAGGCAGGAAATCCCATGACTCCAAGACCAGTCACAACCATATAGTGAATTAATGGAGGCCAGCCTGGCCTTCACGAGACACTAAAAAAAAAAAAACAAACCAAACCTAGGGGCAGTATGAGGGAGAGATAGTTGATCTGGAGGCTTGAATGTTATCTCCAGAATCCATGTGTAAAACAGAGGGGGCAGGGATAAAAGCCCAGTGTAATGACATGCTTCTAATCCCAGCACTGGGGGAATTGAGGCAGACAGATCCCTGGGCCTTGCTGGCCAGCCAGCCTGTCCTTATGGCAAGTTCCAGGCCAGTGACAGATCCTATCTCAATAAAAACAAGGTGGATAGCACCCGAGGAACGACACCTGAGGTTGGCCTCTGGCCTCCACAAACATGTATACATACACACACAAAATAAAAGCATCCCTAAAAATATATATATATTAATATATATTAGATTTATATTATAGATATTTTTACACACACACACATATATAATCTCAGGATAGAGGTTTCTAGTAAAACTGACTTAACAGGATTCTTACTCAAATTGGGTTTTTGAGAACATGCCCAGGGATGGAGCAGTGTTGAACAAAGAGCTCGGAGTCTGTGTGGTAAGGAAGCTGATCTCTGTCAGCTCCCAGCCCTGCCATGCTCTGTGGGACCCGAGTGAGTCATCACCCCCCTCACCCTTCCAGTGTCGTTTCCTTACGTAGCCGGTTGTCGGAGTGGGAGACATGATGCATCTGGAGCTCAGTGATGTGTCACTGGGACCTGGTCAGCGTTTGATGCTGTTATGTTATTGTCATCGTCATTGTTAGCGAAGAGGCACTGGAGACAGCCGGATCCTGCTCCGGCCCCCCGGGTCATGATCTCAGCCATGGTCTGAGAGATGAATGGCCTCTGGAACCTCATGAAACAGGAAGGAACCCAAGTGCTTGTAAAGGGTCTAGATGACTCATGGCCGCCTCCACAGTGGCTGGCCGGTCTCCTGGCAACAGGGGCTTGTTCGTGTGATCTCAGGAGGAAGGAAGCAGGAGGAGGAGCCATGGATACCCATGAGGCCTTGACACTCCAGTCTGGCTCAGTTCTCCTGCCTCCTGGCTTGTTCTCACCTGCAGATACTGTTTCCTGGGTTAGGTTTTCCCTGGGAGAGACGTCCGTGACTTGTTAAGGGCAGCCTCCCTGAACCCAGGCTTCCCCGATGACATCAGTGTCTTCTTCCCTGTGTGCTGTGTGGGTTGGGTGCCTAGCTGTCCGTTTCCCCCTGCTAGGAGTTGGTAGGGATGGCAACCTTGACTCGGAATCTGAGTAGAGGGGCTTCCTGTGAGGTAAGGCTTTATGCTGAGATGAAGAAGGCACAGTCCTGGATATCCAAGAGAGGACAGGAAGAAGTCCAGTCCCAGGCAGGAGAGCAGGGCCCAAGGGAAGGACCAGAATGGGAACTGGGACTCCAATGGTGCTGTTCATGCACATCCCTGGACGGGAGGTGTCGGACTCTTCTGAGGTTAAGATCCTGCCTTGGCATCCTTTTTGCTCCGTAAATGTTGTTATTGAACACTTAGTTCAAGAACCATAGCCTGAATCTGTGGTTTCTGTCTACCCCACCCCCCAATACATGACTGTCTCAGTTGAGTTATCAGGTCCCCACTTCTCTTCCTGAAGATGGAATTCCACAAGAGAAAGAGTAGGGGTCTCCCTCTTTCTGAACCCAGGATACATGAGAGCCACGGGCCAGAAAGAGAGGGGTGTGGTGGCACTGATCTGGGACACAGTCACCAGGATGGTGCCAGCTGTTGAAAGAGTCACCCAGCAAGGAGAATGGGAGCCCTCACATGCAGTAGGTACACAAGACCTTGGCCAGGGTCCTTTTCAAGATTGTCCCAAGCTTCTGTGGGTTATCTAAACAAACAGTACATGAGAGCCTGCTGTATTGCCTTCATGAGGAAGAACCTGTATGCCAGGCTTCAAGAATGCCATAACACGCCGGGCGGTGGTGGCGCATGCCTTTAATTCCAGCACTCGGGAGGCAGAGCCAGGTGGATCTCTGTGAGTTCGAGTCCAGTCTGGTCTACAAAGTGAGATCCAGGTCAGGCTCAAAGCTACACAGAGAAACCCTCTCTCGAAAAACCAAAAAAAAAAAAAAAAAAAAAAAAAAAAAAAAAGCCATAACACTTATCCCCAAGCTTTGTGATCCAGAATAGAGAGACTCAAGAACGATACTACAGATGCCCTGAAAGCCAGGGCCAGCCTGCAACAAGGTCACGCTGGTTCAGATGGCACTGATGGTGGGCAAGGTCAGGAGGGCACAGGGAGACTGTCACAGGATAGGACACTAGCTGTATCTTCAGGGAGAGATTTCCCAAGATAAAGACATCAAGTTTTACACCCAAGGCTGGCAGGAACCCAGGATTCGTGGGGTTGCTTGAGCTGAGGGGATGCTAGTCTGTAGCCTGGGGGGATGTGGTCAGGACCGGGACAGGATCCTGAGAGCATCATCCTCAGCCAGGGCCCTTGCAGATTTCTCTCTGCCGCTTCTCTTCTCTCATTTCCATTCACACACTTTCTAAGCAGAATAATTCCCACAGCCCTGTTCCTTCTTGGGGAGTAACGTAGAATCTTGTCTTTTCCCATTTTCCCTCCTAACCTTCTAGTGTCCTGCTGGGGTTATCACTCAGATTCCCACAGAGCCATCTGGGTAATAATACCTTTTGTCCTGAGAGTTTTGTTCACTTCGCACATTTCCTGCCAACAGAATCAGGCCAGATATAATCTTCTGTAGCTGTTTTGGCTTTTCGAGACAGGGTTTCTCTGTGTAGCTCTGGCTATTCTGGAACTCACTCTGTACACCAGGCTGGCCTTGAACTCACAGAGCTCTGCCTGGCTCTGCCTCCCAAGTGCTGGGATTAAAGGCATGCGCCACCACCAACCAGCTGACGGTTGTTGATGTTGTTGTTGTTGTTTTTAAGCGTTATCTACTTCTTGGTATTATCAATAGTAGCTAAATAAGGTTACCCTGTCATGGCCTACAGTTTTGTTTCTCTGATTACTAGGCTGTTGTGGTTGGTGCCGCGGTGGCCCGTGGCATTGGTATAAGTCAATACGGATGACTGCTTTCCAGTCGTAGGTAGGAGGAGGCTCCAGGTCCCATTCAGTGTCTGCTCCGGTTCAACTTAGGCATTCCCCAGCTTGTCCTGGTGTGTACTGAGCAGTTTTCTAGGCAGGCCTCTGAGCCACCATCCCCCAGACCCACTGACTACAGCTCTTCGAAGTTCCTGCCTGATGCAGTCCCAGGGAGACAGTGGTGTTAACAGACTGTCCTTCCGGGACCGCTGTATGCACACACACCTGCTGGCTGCCCAGTGCCTGGGTGGAACCGTGGTACCTGACAGCCACAGTGGCCCTGAGGGCTTTAGCTTTTCCCTGCACTTCTGTGTAATAGCACTCACTTCCCCCTCGGTCATCAGTTTTTCCAGATCCCGGCCTCTTGCTTGTTTATTGCTCTGGAACTTTAAATAACTGCCTGGGAAAGTGTGCCAGCCTTGAATGCTGTTTGCAGCGTAGCCCGGCCCTCCGTGTCCTGTTATTCTGTACATGGTTTCTGCTCGGCCTAAGCACAGTCTATTCTTTGAGGCCAGTCCACCTATTCGAGGCTGCTGTGAGGGTTGAGTACCCAGACACCAACATAAGCTACAAATAGGGGGCCTGGTGTTGGCCTAGCCTGGTCCCAGCAGCTCTAGGCGGAGTTAGATACTAGGCCTTGGTGCTCAAGAGTGGACAATGTCTAGATCAGCAAGGCCCTTGGAAGCTTGTCTGCAGGGGAACAGGATCAATACTCAGGATGCTCTCTACCCCCAGTCCATTGGCGGCAGTACATGGGATTTGGGAGTATCAGCTTGCCTGGAAGCATTCTTTCAGGACACTACCAGCTTGGAGTGGACTGACCAACAACACACATGTTACTCAGTGTCTCTAAATTTGGACCACAGGAAACCACCCACTCGAAAAGGAGACTCCGGCATAAGAGGAGACTGACATATCTGAATTCCCGTAACCAATAGGCTTGGGAGCAGGAGCTGTTTTTCCCATATACTGACCAAAAACAAAAGTGGAATGTAAGGGTGATGGGAAACTGTGACCTTGGCTGGCCCGACTGTAGGGTGGAGCTTCCCTGGGAGAGCCTGCTCAAAAGGAGACAGAGGTTAGGAGCTCACCACTGTCCTGCTGCTCAGCTCCACCAGCTTCTTTGCCGCCTGACCCCCCGTCGCCATGCAGGGCCTCGTTCGGTTTTTCTACCCCAGCCGGGCAAGCCGGAGCCGGATAGCCTCTGCTGAGAAACAGCTGTGTGCCCGAGGCACTGCCCTGTGGACCCATATCCGATGTCTGGTGTGCAGGGGCAAGGTGGGCCAGTCAGTCAGGGCCTGGGATCCCGGGTAGGCTGGGAAGGGTGGGACCCAGTCACCCAGATGTCTCAGACGGTCATTCTCCTCACCCTACCGCTCACCCAGTCTTAGGACTGCTCATTCATGGCCTTTGCTGCCCCTGGGTTTTTAGGGGAGAGGGGTCCCCATTACTACTGTCCTCAGAGAGAAAGGGAAGGATTTGTCTCACTCCGCTTGCTTCTGAAGAAGGAAGGGGCACTATCCTTGGGCAGCCAAGACACAGGTGGGCCCTGGGGTTCCTACAAGGACCCGTGAAGCAAGGGCAGGGGGCTTCCCCACACCACAGATTCCCACAGTGAAGAGAGCTGAATTTCTTTGTAGAAAAGAACCTGGGACGCAGTGGTGGTTCTTTTATCTCTGAATTTGGGGGTACTAGAGATAAAAACCAGGGACTTTGTGCATGCCAGGGAGAGCTCCAGCACAGAGCCCACCCTCAGTTCATGACGTGTTTTCAGAAGACTTCAAGTTCCTTATTCGTCTAGCCTCACTAGTGGCCTCTCTGAAGCCTATGATAGCTCGTGGGTGCTCATCAGAAAGGGGAGACAGAGCTTCTATACATGGCGTGGGGTGGGGTGGTGGTAGTTATAAAGACTACTTATTCGGGTGACATAGGGTAGGTTCCTATAGACTGGCTGCTGGACAATGGTTTGCAGAGGTCAAAGCTGGGGGGTACAGTGAGGCTTCCGTCTGATTCGGGGTGGCACTCTATGTCTTTCTGGGCACGGTTGAGGGAGAAAGCGTGATTGGCAACCCTTGATGCTCTGCCCTCTCACAGTCACCACTGAAATTAGTTCTTATACCAGCCTGCCCTCCGTTCGGATCTAGCAACCCCTCTGACAGATGGAAGTGGGACTTAGGCTCCACCTGGGGTGGGGGTGGGGAGCGGGGTTCATGGCAGTGAGCTGCGGCACTCTGAGGTTCCAGGACTGTCTAACAGGTCAGTCTGCCCCTCTGACCGCGGTAGGACTCCGCTTCCCATGTAGAGCATGGAACAGCAGCAGGGTGGCCGTTGCCCAGCAGAGCCTCCGAGGAGGCCTGAGGACCTTTTGTAATCGTGCATCTTTGGTTTCAGCTGGACCCCCAAACCCTACAGGACAGAGAGTGGCAACGGACTGTCATCGACATGAATGGGGTAAGTGGCCACAGAGCTCTATTTGTGTCTGTTTCCCACTGAAAGTTAAAACAGACCCAGTTCCACCGAGAACGGTCCGAAGAAGGCTAAGCCTGAGATGATGGCTGGAGAGGAGAATGGGCTCTGGAGGAGGAAGGAATGCCCACCAGGAGTGCTGTGTACAGGGCAGAGGTGGGCACCTCCAGAGCAGAGACACCGTGCATAGGAAGGAGCCCTCTCTATTTGGTGGCCAGTTGCCACCCAGACCCTGCGGGTTCAATCCTGAAAGGAAGGTCTGTGATGCTAGGGTCCATCCCCAGGACCACATCTCACCAAACACTTAAGATCCACTGACGTTGTCTTTGGCTATCTCAGGAAAATGTATCCAAAAAGATTGGGACTAGCACAGTTTTAGAGATTTTTTTTTTCCTTTTCCTGATGATATTTGCATGTACGTAAGCAGTCTCAGACATGGGACCCAAATATAAATATGAATTTACTATTATCTATTATTTTATGGAGAGTTTACATGCATAGCTGTGGAGGTAGGGATTTTATGCATCTTAACTCATTCGCAGGCGGTCAGGTGGGTGTGGAACCCTCCTCGTGTATCACTTTGGTGTTCGGGGAGTTTACAGTTTGTGATTTACAGCTTAGATTTCCGGATTAGAACCTTCTGACCTGTTCCTTTTGTTGTGGTGGGTTGTTCTTTAGGGGAGGCGGTGGTTGTCCAGTTGGCTTGTCTTCTTCCGCTTTGTTCTGATGATTTGAACTGAACGGAGTACCTTGTGCATGCTAGGTGTGTGCACCGTCACTGAGCTACACGCTCCAGCCCCGCCTGCTTATTTTTTTTTTTAATATTACTTTAAAAAATGAAGGGAAACAATGAGGATATGAGAGGAGACTGTGCAGAAGTAAATCCTTTACGCCCCTGACCACCCCTGGCTCTGATTGACTACAACAAGGGCTTCTTCCATCTCATTCTGGAGCCTTGACCTGTCTGCCCTGGGGGTGAAAAGGTTTCTTGGGCTAGGACCTTCAAGGACCCTGAGATCTCAGCCTAAGAGGTCCAGAGGGTAAGAGGCCCACACCCTTCCTTTCCCCTGCAGATTGAAGTGAAACTCTCCGTCAAGTTCACGAGCAGGGAGTTCAGCTTGAAGAGAATGCCTTCCCGCAAACAGACAGGGGTCTTCGGTGTCAAGATCGCTGTGGTCACAAAGTGAGTGGCAGGAGGTGTGGGCTTGTTCTTGAGGGCATTCTGCAGGCATGCCTGAGGGAAAGGCCTGCTCTCTTAGGGCACGGCCCTGCTGGCTGCATATAGGGGATTGGGGGTAGCCCCAGGGGAGACTGAGGTTCTGCTTAGCCACCTCCTGTGTTTATTGTAAAACCAGCTCAGGAATGTCCTCATCTCCTGGTCAGGAACTGCCCAAGTGCAGGACTTGCTTCCCTTGCCTGGAATATGTTGTGATCCCAAGTTCCTGTTGAATAATTTGAATCTCGGCCCTTTTGTTGTGAGCCTGTTGCCGGGAGATGCCTATTTGTTGCTTTGAGGGCAGTTCTTGGGGATACAGGCCACTTCCTCCCAGATTTCCATTCACTTCCCCAGGATGGAGTACTGGCTACATAACCCATTGCCCCGACACTGACATGTGTCCAAACACACTCTTCTCCTATGAGAGAGTCTGCTTCCAAGCTCTTTCCAGAAAACACGGATGTGCACTTTGGGGAGGAAGGTGCCCCCTCACTTCACCTGTGTAACTATGGGATCAGGGCTTGGAAAGGACCTGATTGTGTTTATCTGAGTCCAGGTTCATACCTCCTCATAGCACTGGTTACTGTCTTCAAAGCATTCTGGTTCCAGAGCTGTACCAGGAGGTCTAGAGGTTGTCCAGAAGAGAAAGTATTTAAAATGGCAAGGGACCTGAGTAATGCTGAAGACTTGTACATGCAGCATGCCTTAGGATTACTAGTGCTGTGATGAAACACCATGACCAAAGAAACTTGGGGAGGAAAGGGTGTTTTTGGCTTACACTTCCATATCACTGTTCATCACTGAAGGAAGCCAAGACAGGAATTCCCACAGGGCAGGAATCTGGAGACAGGAGCTGATGCAGAGGCCATGGAGGAGTGCTGCTTACTGGCTTGTTCCCTATGGCTTGCTCAGCCTGTTTTCTTACAGAACCCAAGACCACCAGCCCAGGGATATCACCACCCACAATGAGCTGGGGCCTCCCCCATTGATCACGAATTAAGAAAATGTCTTAACAGCCAGACCTTATGGAGGCATTTTCTCAGTTGAGGTTCCCTCCTTTCAGATAACTCTAGCTTGTGTCAAGTTGACATAAAACTATCGAACACACAGCAGATGCATGGTGTTTGCCCTGTGCAAGCCTTAGCTCTCAAGGAGCCTCAGGGGATTCACTGCACAGGAGTCAGGAGTCTGGGCCAATACCTTGTCCAGCTTCCTATCTTAGAGGTGAGAGTCTTTATCACGAGACTCTAGGAAGCTTTTGGTTCATTCACAGCCTGGAAGCTGTACTTCCTAGAGCAGTGTTGCTTAGAAAAGCCTCTGAGGTTGAGGATATAGCTCAGAGTACTTACCCTCCAGCACCGTGGAAGAAAATAACAAGCCTCATGACCTTCCCACGGGGTCATATGTAACTTGCAAGGTGATTGGATGCTTCAGGCTCTTAGAAAGTTCCTGATAAAATAGAGAGCTCAAAGCAGGAAGGAAAACTTGCCCAAGCTTACATTTGTGGTCTCAAACTCTACACACCTTCTTCTCCCCCTGCAGGAGAGAGAGGTCCAAGGTACCTTACATTGTGCGCCAGTGTGTGGAGGAGATCGAGCGCCGGGGCATGGAGGAGGTGGGCATCTACCGAGTGTCTGGAGTGGCCACAGACATCCAGGCACTGAAGGCGGCCTTTGACGTCAGTGAGTATTGCCCAGGCAGGGTGGAACAGAGGTGATGTCCACACTGAGACTCCCAGAGGGCCTAGCACATCACTCTCTTACCTTTTCCTTCCTTATTTAAGAGTAGAAGACAAAAGCTGGGCATGGCAGTGTGAGCATATACTCTAACGTTCAGGAGGATAATCCAGGAATACATACTTTCAGTCTAGCCTGGACTACATGATGAGTTCCAAGTTAGCTTTAGCCACATAGTGATTTCCTGTGTCAAGTAGACAGATGATAGATAATTGATTGACTGATGATTGATAATTAACATCTGTAATCCCAGTATTCGGGAGGTAGAGGCAGGAGAATTGCTGCAAATTCAAGGCCAGGCAGGGCTATAGAGCAAGACTTTGCCTTAAAAGAAAATAAATAAATAAGTTTGAGAGATGGTGTGATCTGGGCACATTGATGTTACCTTGTAGCTCTAGCTACTCAGGAGATTGAGACAGGGTCACTTGAGCCCAGGAGTTCAGACCCTGCCTAAAATGTCACATCTCAAAAGAAAGAAAATGGAGAGATGCCTTAGGAAAGAGCGCAAACTGCTCCTGCAGGGGACCCAGGATCAGTTCCCTGCACCTAACAATCCAGCTCACCACCACCTGTAACTCTAGTTACAGGGCATCCCATGCCCTCTTCTGGCCTCTGTGGGATCCTACATGCATGTGGTGCACATAAACTCATACAGGTACACACATACACATAAAAATAGCAAGTAATTCGTTTAAAAAAGAAAGAAATGAATCCTTCAAATGTCTAGCCACATCCACCGAGTTGGACCATGGCCTTCTGTGGGATGTGGTCTGATGCTTTGGAGTAGACAGGAGGAGCTAAAGCCCCATATAATTTAACTATGGCTCACTCGAGGGTGGTGTGGGACAGTGGGCATGGCTATGACCCAATTCTTACTGGTGCTGTCTTGTTTCTATCTGTCCCCCAAACCCTCACACCCTGCAAGGGAGACAGAGCTGCCCCCAAGTGCTAAGCAAGGGCCTTGAGACCCTTAGAGAGTCAGTCTTAGATAAGGTTTCTATTGCTGGGATAAAATACCTAGACCAAAAGCAACTTGGGAAAGAAAGGGTTTATTTCAGGTTACAACTCCCAGGTCATAGTCTATCACGGAGAGAAGTCAGGGCAGGAACCTGGAGACAGAAATTGAATCAGAAGCCATGGAGGCATACTTCTTACTGAGCTGTTCCTTGTGACTTGCTTAGTCTGCCTTCTTATACAACTCAGAACCACCTGACCAAGGATGGTGCTGCCCACAGTAGTCTAGACCCTTCTACATCAATCATCAATCAAGAAAAGCCTACAGGCCAATCTTATGGGCACATTTTCTCAGTTGGGGTTCCCTCTTCCCAGGTATATCTAGGTTTGTTTCAACTTGACAAAAAACAACCAGCATCCCCAGAGAACAAGTAGACAGAAACAGGACTCGGCAGGACTGTGTACTTACAGAGACTGTGTACCGCCTTCCTGACCTGGGCCACCAAGGGCCCAGCACCCTTTGATGAGCCTTACTGCCCTTTCAGCTTCTCTGGGAAACCAGAGTAGGCCTGCTCTCCAGGTCAGAGAACCAGTGGCCACCACAGTCCAAAGACAATACCCAATAGGACCATAAAAATGACCCAAATGACCCCAGGGCCTTCCTGTTAGAAGAAGCAGCCACCCGGGCAGCTGTTCTGTACAGAACAGAGTTGCCTGAGTCCTACCTAGGCGCCATGAACTCTGCCTTCTCCTTCTCTGGCCAACCTGGCTCTGCAGCCGGACTGCTGTGCACGGAGCAGAGACACGGGCAGAGGTGTGAGATACTCTTGCTTCCCTGCACCTCTGCCCAGGCTCACACACAGATGCTTGGGAGAAAGAAGATAAACTACATAAAGAGAATGGGCACACACATTTGTCAGCATGCTGGTGACCTCGTTAGCCCGGGCAGGGTTGCAGAAGCCCAGACCTGGGATCCACATGGAGAATCCCTTTCTGTGTTCTTTCCAGATAACAAGGACGTGTCAGTGATGATGAGTGAGATGGACGTGAATGCCATTGCTGGCACGCTGAAGCTCTACTTCCGCGAGCTGCCGGAACCCCTCTTCACTGATGAGTTCTACCCTAACTTCGCAGAGGGCATTGGTGAGCGTTGACGGCCTCAGCCCTGTGGGAGGCATCTCCCTACCTCTTCTTCTCTCTTCCGGCACTGTTAGGAGAGGGAATCAGAACTCTTCCCCTCTACGCTGGGTCCACATTTGAACCCAACCTAAGGGAGTTGGCTGTGTAAGACAAAAACCAAGCCATCTGTGGGCTGTCCAAGGGCTGCTGCTGCCCTCTCCTCTCAATATGGCCAGAGGGTAACCAGTGTCGCCACGGGCATGTCCAGCTGTGGCATCCTGATAGCCACAGCACTCCTTTCAGTGGAGTAGCATTGAATGGATGGCTTGCCGGGTTCCTCTGGGAACCCCCAACACTCTATCCCCAGGTCCTGGCCCAGTCAAGCAGAGGTTCAAGCCTAGCCTTGACCTTTAGTCAACCTGAAGGATGGTGCTCAAAGTAGCCACTAGCACGTGAGACAAGCATAGCTCCTACCTGGCCCTTAGGGTGACCCAGCCTGTATGGCCAGTTCACCAGAAGACCTGGGCCTTCGGGCCTGAAAGTGCCCCTAGGGTGCACATGAAAACAAGGGAAACTCCCAGGGACCAGGGCAGGGGCCTTGCAGCCCTCCAGTTCTCTTTATCCCAACTCTACATGCTTCCTTCAGAACCTGGGCTCTTTTCGTGTGCTTACAGCTGCAGAAAGTGGCCCTGAGCACAGCTCTACCCACAGTCAGCATGGTTAGGACACCTGCTGGACAGGTGCCTAGGGTGCTGTTGTCCCTTTGAGATGAGAGAAGGCATTTCGAGTATCTCCCATGGCACATAAACAACCACCCCGGGGTCCTTCTCAGAGGGGATTAGTCTAAGCTGTGTGAGCCGAGACCGTGATGGGCCTGCTGAACTCTGTCATCTTCCAGCATAGGCTTTGGATCTGTCATCAGATATCCTCAGGAGAGGTCTCCAGCTTGGGCTGTGACCCTGGAAACTAAACTTCCTCTTTCTGTAGCTCTTTCAGACCCTGTTGCAAAGGAGAGCTGCATGCTCAACTTACTGCTGTCCCTCCCAGAAGCCAACCTACTGACGTTCCTTTTCCTTCTGGACCACTTGAAAAGGTAGCGCCTGTTCTCCTGTGCAGCCCAAGACCCCAAGAAACTAGGCACCAAGGGCTTTGTCTCCTTCCTGGGTCTGCAATAGTTTCCCATTCCAGGGACCAGAACCACGGCCACCCCTGTCCCTCTGCACCATGACATTAAGCCAACAGCCAGAATTGCACTTGAACTTGTCCTTTACTCCCAGATCATGGCCCAGAGCTGTCCCAGCTGCCCACTGGCCTTGAGCTCTCTTGATCCAGGGCTCCTCAGACTCTGGGGTGGAGTCTTTTTGTTAGTTTGTTTTCGAGACAGGGTTTCTCTGTGTAGTTTTGGTGCCTGTCCTAGATCTCGCTCTGTAGCCCAGGCTGGCCTTGAACTCACAGAGATCCACCTGGCTCTGCCTCCTGAGTGCTGGGATTAAAGGCATGCACCACCACCGCCTGGCTGGGGTGGAATCTTTACTTCTGCCCTGAATGTAATGTTGAAACAGCACCCTCTGCTTTGGCCTTACACAGGGTGGCGGAAAAGGAGACGGTGAACAAGATGTCCCTGCACAACCTCGCCACAGTCTTTGGTCCTACGCTGCTTCGACCCTCAGAGAAGGAAAGCAAGCTCCCTGCTAACCCCAGCCAGCCCATCACCATGACTGACAGCTGGTCCCTGGAGGTCATGTCCCAGGTATAGGAGACGTAGTCCACGTTACCCTGGTGACACAGGGGACGACCTCAGTCTTATTAGTCATTCCCACCTCTACTACAGAGGTCGACCCCCTACGACTGAGAGGGCCAGGAACGAAGGACCCTGGCTACTTTGATTCCCTCAGTACCTGAGTAGATTTGCAGGGCCCAAGGCCCAGCCCACCTGCTGGTCTTTCAAGTGTGCACAGCCTAGGCCTTAAAACTTCATCCTGTGTAGGCGGACACCTGCCTAATCCGGGGTGTCTTGATGCGCGAGGCTGTTGTCACTAACGGGGTCTCTTAGTGCCTGAGCTGGGTTAGCCAAGATGAGCTTCCTGCCCGCAACCCAGAGCACCCTCTTACTTGTTTACCTCTCCCTTCTCTGCTGGGACAGGTCCAAGTGTTGCTGTACTTCCTGCAGCTGGAGGCCATCCCTGCCCCCGACAGCAAGAGACAGAGCGTCCTGTTTTCCACGGAAGTCTAAAGGCCTGGCGTCAGTCGTCTCATTAAGAGGTCCACAGAATGACCTGGAAACCTGTGGCAAGAGACTCCATCCTCGGAGTGGGAATGGGACCCTTCTTGTGGTGTAATTTAACCATTCCCAGGCTCTGGGCCATCCGCCAAGAGACAAGTACCCAAAGCAAAAGGCCAAAGGGGCCTACACAAATCATCCGGGTGTGTCTGCAAGTCCCAGGCTGGCCCCAGACTGTACTCTTTCCTTGTTGCCACCGGAGGGCGCCCCAGGCCAGCCCATCTGCCAGCCTGCATACGAGGGAAAGGTGGCAGAGAGTGGTTTTTACGAGAAATCTAATTTATCAGAGTTTAAAAAAAAAAAAAAAATCTCTACTGGATCATTTGTTCCGATGCACCCTCTCTGGGGAATAGGGACACCACCAGATCCCTCACTCTTGTGTCTTGAATAAACACTGCTGCTGCTTCATATTGTGGGGGCCCCAGCCCTGTCCCTGGGTGGGTGGGGATTGTCTTCACTGCCCCGACTTAGAAGTTCCGCTGTCTGTGTGACAAACGGGGTTTGAGATGCTGAGTCAACGCGGTGGCGTCTTCACTCCTTGCTGCTTGCTCTGTCTTTCTCCAGGGGTGTCTGTGCAGAAGTAGGTCAGGCTCCTCCTGTCTGCTGATACTCTTGTTTTAGCTGTTCGTGCACTTCCTCAGGAGGATGCTCCATCGCAGCCCAGAAGTGTCCAGGGACCAGACACGGGGTGGGGGGGAAGGAGGCCCCGGCCGGGCACCTTACCATTCCTTCTGCAGGGAGAGTGGCCGTGCCCACTGATCTTTACTGCCTGCCTGGCACCACGTCTCCCTTTTGGCTTACAAAGGCTGTGACTTCTCTGGCCTGGCTCTGACGGCTCTCTCGCTCTCTGTCCCCTGTCGTCCCACATCCACATCACATCCTTTCCTCGCTCTCGACTGAGCAGACTTGGTTAACTTTTGTAGGAGTTTCTGCTCCGGAGCAGCAGCTTGCTCTAGCGGCTTGTTTTAAAACTTTGATCCGAAATAGCTTTTGATACTTGAATATTTTTAAGTTTTATACATAGTTTCTAATTTTTTTCCTAACGGATTCAGACACCTAATGAGATACTAGAATGTACACCGTGGACGGGCAGCGTCCCAAGCAGTTTTTTTGTCTTCCTTCAAGAACCAGCTTTCTTTTGGTTAGGAGTCATTTCTGATGTCCCTGGAACGTCAGAAACATGGGAAGGAGGTTAGGCAAGTCAGGCCTGGGGGTGGGAGCAGATGCCCCAAAGCAGCCTGAAAGCTAGCCCATCTTCTGCCCTCGCACCCTACATTCCTTGTACCTGGACGGGAGTCGGGATCGTCTCTTCCTGACCACCCTCCGTAGTGAAAAGAGAAAGGGGAAGCCGCCACTTACCTTCAAGAAAGAAACCCAGAAATCCATGCATTGTTTTTAAAATGGTCTTGGAATCCCACGCTTGGGAGGTTGAGGCAGAATTGCCCTGAGTTCAAGACCAGCCTCGGCAGCATAGAGCTGATCAGGCGGCCAGCCAAGGCTCCAATGCAGGGCTGTGGTACAAGGGGCTTGGAGTAGACGGGAGAGAAGAGACCAGTAGACTTGAATGCTGTGCTGCTCCTGCAGAAAGGCATGACTTGGGGGTGTAGATTGCTTGTCACGGAGGACTCCCGCACCTGGTCACATTGGCCACAGCCCCTCCCACGCCTGGAAGGTGGGTGTGTCCGCAAACAGCCTCTGCCAACCCCACAGCACATGGGGATTCCCGAGAGGCAGAGTCATGTATCCCCTACTGTCTGCTCTTGAACCTGCCCAAGGTGTTGGGCAGGAAACAACAGACCCTGCAGGGTCTCCTCTGTCTGCATACAGTGTTTGTTTAGTTGGCTTTTTTTTTTTTTTTCTCAGCAGAGCCACCCTTTGGTCTGCCCTGGAGCGTTTCTGGACCCAGTGGGCTCCCCTAGTTTGACTGTCCCTCTCGGTCCCCCTCGGTGGCTCTGACCCTAGGAGGGGACACTGCTGAGGAAAGCCAACCCTAGCTGTCGTTTCTGCCCACTCTGTTGTCTCTTGATTTGCATCTGTCACCCTTGAACTGGAAAGCAATATATCAACGTGCCAATTTGCATCCCCTTGCCCGGCTCCTCCCTCGGTTCACTTTATTTATATAGGTGTTGTTTGAGGATGGAATGATCACTCTTGTGTTGTGCTCAAAGTGTTCCTCCGCCATCCAGCCACGGTGGCCGTGGCTGGGGCTGCCTCTGTTACCATCTCACACCTTGCAGGCCTGTAGGCTGGCAAAGCCAATGTGGGGCTGGAAAATACACGGTGGTTCTCCCAGGAGTGGGATAACCCAGCTTTCCCTCTGCAAAGAGAATGATGGCCCGGAGTCCATCATGGCTACCCCGCAAGCGTGGCTGCCAGACAATAAAGGAAGAAGTGATGCTTTCTTACCTTGGAACCTGGGTCCTGCCTGGGTATAGCAGGCTTGGCGTCATGGTGGTAACCTGGTCTCCCTGGTGGGTGGATGGTCTCTTAGCTGCGATCTTGCTTTTGAGCTCAGCTGTCTGTACTACTTCTGTGCCGGAAGGACCATGGACACTCTTATTAAAGTCTCCTGAGACTACTTCAGTTTGTGGTGGTTTCTAGTTGGTCAGTTGCCTCTGGGTTTGAACCCCCTGCACTCCTGGGGCTTGCCAAAACTGGAAACTGTGGGCATAGAGAAGAACCAGTGGACAGAGCCCTTCACTGTCCAACCCGGCCATCAGTGAGGGAGAAGGGGTCTGCGTGTACCACTGTGGGAAGGCCTGGTTTACTGGAATTGGGTACCCACAGGCAGTTGCCAGGCACGCGGTTTCAAGATATGGAATGGCAGCTGAGTCCTCAAGCATGGGGCAGTCTAGTTTGGGCAAGGAGCATAGCCTGGGCTAAAGGGGAGAAAGAGAAACCACTTAGGAAGTCAGTCTTGACCCTGCAGAGACGGCAGTAGGGTTGTTGACCAATCTTGCTTGTTTTGCTGGGACCTGGTTCTCACCTACGCCCATGCCCCTCTTTTAAGCCCCTAAAACCTGCTGGGATTGCAAGTTGGGCAGCTGGACCCTACCTTCGTATGGCATGTAGAGTAGGTAGATAGTCTTAGCTCTCAGAAGCCTGCTTCTGGTGGAAACAGGCATGTGACATGGGTTCTTTCTTTGATGGTGGTGTCTTGGGAAGAGCCTTGCCATGTCCCATTCACCATCAGATTACCTTTGACAATATTTAAATCAAGTCACCCTAATGCTTCCTAGAACAAGGCTCACTTGACAGAGACTGCAAATGGCCAAGGGGGCGGGGGAGTGGGGGAGCTGAACAATGTGATTTTTCAGTGTGACTCCAGCCTGCAGGCTGCTTGGAGTATCACTGTCGCCATTGCCATTTTGATGACAGTGCAAGGTTATAGAGGTGTTAGGAGTGACAGGTTGATCAGAGTAGACGCTCACTGCTCCATTCACCAACTGACAGACTTGACAGAGATCACCCTGAAGGACCAAAAGAGCTGTACCCTCACCCTTGGATTCTGAGCAGCCTCAGCTGCCCTAACCCCATTCCCACCCCACAAGCACATGGATTGACCTTGGACTCACCCTTCCCAGGAAGCTATGCGCACGGTGACCAGGAAGGGCTTCTGCTGGTAGTAGACTAAGTCCAGCCCCTAAAAGGTTACAGTCGAGCTCTCTTTCGTTGTCTGCCTGGCTCTGTTTGGAAAACGTACACACATACATGCATTCATAGCCTTTTTGCATCTCTTACTAGAGGTGGATTCTTCAGGCAAAAGCTGACTCCTCACCATGCTTCTGCACGCCAGAGCCAGGTCTGGCCAAACCCAGATCCGTGGTATGGCCTGGGGACAGGATAATTCACTGTGCCTCAAATCTGAAGTCATCAACACTGCCGGGAGTCCTTTGAGCAGTGGTTCTCAACCTGTGGGTTGCGACCCCTTGGGTTAACCCTTTCACAGGGGTTGCCTAAGACTATAGGAAAACACAGAGATTTATATTATGAGTAATAACCATAGCGAAACTACAGCTATGAAGTAGCAACAAAATAATTTTATGGCTGGGGATCACCACAGCTCTACATAGCATTGCAAATCCTCCCTGTGAGCAGATGCGGGGTTCTGTCTTAACTCCCTGTCCCCAATGAACCAACTTTCTGCTAGGCAAGACCTCGACTTCCAGCCTGAGCCTGAACAAAATGGCATTTGTTGGTGGGGACGTGCAGGCTGAGATTGTCTGGCATCTTGCCCTCTCAAATTCATGTAGAAATTGCAGAAGGGCTTCTCATGACTCCTTCCACCCCAATGTGCCAGTGGCCTTAAAAGACATTTCCCGAGGTCTGATGATGGGCCCTTGCAAATAGTTCTGGAAAGATAAACAGCAAGAGTGAGGGAGTGACAACCGGCTCCTGAAGAGGCCCAAATGGCCTCTGCTGGAGCAGCGCCCACAGGCCAGCAGGACCGGAGCTAGATCCCGGCAGAGGTCAAGAGAGCTGGTGGGGTCAAATGGAAGTGGGAGAGAGCTGACAAGTCACAGTCAACTCCCAGGCAGAGTTCTGCATCACGTGACAATGACAGGCAATGGGTTAAGAGGTGGGTTCTTGAAGACACACGCCACATCTCATTCCTAACCAAATTAGAAAGGGTACCAGCTCCCTGTGGGAAAATGGTGCCCAAAGCTCCTAAACCCAGCAGCCTGGCCTGATGTCGGATGGTAATAACATTCCAAGAAAGGCTTCAGAGCTCCTCAGGCTATGTCTCCAACTACGGAAGTACATCAGAGGCTTCATCTACATTCCTGTCCTGTGTATGGAACTCGGGAAGGCTCAAGACAGCTTGGGCTGTCTAGCAAGACCGTGTTTCAAAATACAAACGAGAAAATACCATGCGCAGATGGAGGGGGCAATTTACATGCCAAGTATTGCCAAGGTTGCAGGAGGCACCATGACTGAAGAGGGAGGCCTGGACCAAAATTCCACCCAGCGCATCCACCTGCCAACAGATGAGCTCGGCACTTCTGGCTTCTAGAACTGAGAAGTCAGTCCTGGTTTTCTGGAGCCCTGTGGTTTATAAATTTCTAAGGCAGCCGCGTGAAACTAATACTGTTTCACACAACTAGGAAGTCAAGATACATCCATCAGTCCTAGGGTCCAAAGCCTAAAGGAGAGAGGCAGAAAGAAGCCAATGAGGCAGACGCAAAGGTCACCCCCACGCTTGGCAATGATGCAGCACAGCATTTGGGCAAACAAAGGGCTTGCTGACCTGATCTAGAGGTCTTGCTGCTCCTCTTCGACCACCAGCTGTGCTTACAAAGGCCCCGAGGAGGTGGAGTGCCTTCTGCTAGGTCCTCACTTGCCTCTTGTGTCCACATCCTTCCTAGCCTTAGTCCCACATCAGGCTCAGTCCGCAAGGCCCTCTAGTATGTTTGGAATTCGTCACCTTCGCCTCACAAACAGCTCTCGTCTAGCCCTCAGAAAGCATCAGGGGGCTGGAAATGGGGGCCGGCGACTCGGTGCTTGCCTAAGATGCAGCCCCTGGGCTTTGTCGCTAGCGCTGCAAAAGGAGGGGAAGAGGCATCCACCAGGGCAGCTGCTTGCTCAGAATTTGACATCAGTGACACCTACCTTGAAGTGCGAGGTGTGTGGTGATGTCTGCTGGGGATCAAATCAAGCCCCTTGCACGTGCTAAGCATATGCCTTACCATTGAGCTACACCCCAACTCCAAAAGATCAATTTTTAAAGAAATTTTTATTATGCCAACTATACATAATAATAGTTCCATTAGAATACTTTATACATGTATAAAATCTATTTCAATCATATTTACCCTCCGTTTCCTTCTCTTGCCCCCTCCTACTTCTACTGATATCATCCTCTTCCCAGCTAGTTTCTTGTCTTTTCATGGTGTGTGTGTGTGTGTGTGTGTGTGTGTGTGTGTGTGTGTGTGTGTGTCTGTCTGTCTGTCAATGAGCTTGATTAGGCTTGTCTTCAGGAACATGGGTAAGGGTTTATTCACAGGAGCCCTGGCAACTTACAGAGGTTACACCCTTCCCCAAGCAACAGTAACTGCCTATAGATTCTCAAGAAAGGAAGGAGTCTCCTGAGCCCCAACCCTGTTGCAACTCTTAACTGCCTAGAACACCCCTTACCATACCAGGTCGTTAGCAGGCCTGATCTTGTGCAGGACTTTGTACAGATAATCATAGCTCCTATGAGTTCCCAAGCGCAATGGCCATGTGACATCAGGAAGATGGCGTTCTACAACACTCCATGCCTTCCAGCTCCTACTCTCTATCCATCTAGTCTTCCTGAACATTCCTGAGCCTCAGAGGGAATGATACAGAATTGAACATTCAGCAGTTACTTATTCTCAGCACTTTGAGTAATTATAAGTCTCAGCAGTAATCGCTGCCTACTGCAAAAAGATGATCTGCCCAACGTTGAGAGCAACACTAACCTACGGGCATAAAGATTTAGAAGGTAATTGGATAGACACAACATGTCCATTTTTTAAATTTTGGTTTGGTTTGGTTTTTCCAAGACAGGGCCTTTCTGGGTAATAGCTCTGGCTGTCCTAGAAGTCGCTATATAGACCAGGCTGGCCTCCAACCCACAGAGATCTGCCTTCCTCTGCCTCCCAAGTGCTGGGATTAAAGGCATGCACCACTATGCCCAGCACAACATGTCTATTTAATAAAACAATAGTTCTAGCCTTGCCACTAAGGCCTAGTCATGGGATTTGATCAGATTTATGGTACCAGGTATGAATCCCCTGCCGTGGAGCAGACCTTCCTCAAATCCAATCAGAAAGTGGTCACACCATGGCTATTCCACCAGTGGGCACATATTGACTAGCAGGTCAGCAGTGAATTATGGCCGGTCTACAGCTGTCTAAGACTGTTAATGACCACCACCATGAAGCTAGCTGGCCAGGAAGAAGTTCTCTCCATGCCTGCAACCAAAGCATGTGGTGTCTTCAGTAATAGAGTCTTATCATCCAGTTCTGGTGGGCAGTCAAGAGCAGTGGGAATAGCCTATAATGTTTTAGGGGCCTCCTCCCTGGCCAAGAAGTCATTGGGAGATAGCCCACACCCAGTACTAGAATTATCATTTAATAACCTATGGCTTATGGGAGTAGCTTTATCCACCCACACAGAGTACTTCAGCTTAACTTGATTGTTAATTATCTTATCAAGTAGCAGGTTTATTTTCGGCCTTTTGCTGTGGTATGTCTTTCTGTATGCTGTGAATATGTGTTGCTCTGATTGGTTGATAAATAAAGTTGTTTGGCCAATGGCGAGGTAAAATAAGGTTAGGCAGTGCATTCGAACTGAAGAGACGGGAGAAGAAAGGAGAGGAGAGACGCTGTGAGCTGCCCCCGGGAGAAGGATGATGTGAAAGTGCCAGTAAGCCATGAAGCCATGCATCAAAACAGATTAATAGAAATGGGTGGAATTAAGTTATAAGAGCTGGTTAATAATGAGCCTGAGTCATAGGTCATATAGTCTGTAATTAATATAAGCCTCTGTGTGTTTACCTGGGACCGAGCAGCCTCAGGACCAGGCGGGACACAGGGAAACTTCTATCTACAG